TTGGGGTTGTGTTGTTGTTGTGTTGTGTGGTGGTTGTGTTGTGATTGTGTTGTGGTTGTGTTGTGTTGTGGTTGTGTTGTGGTGTGGTTGTGGTTGTGTTGTGGTTGTGTTGTGGTTGTGTTGTGGTTGTGTTGTGGTTGTGGTTGTGGTTGTGTTGTGGTTGTGTTGTGGTTGTGTTGTGGTTGTGTTGTGGTTGCGTTGTGGTTGTGTTGTGGTTGTGTTGTGGTTGTGTTGTGGTTGTGGTTGTGGTTGTGTTGTGGTTGTGTTGTGGTTGTGTTATGGTTGTGGTTGTGTTGTGGTTGTGTTGTGGTTGTGTTGTGCTTTTGTTATGGCTGTGGTTGTGTTGTGGCTGTGTTGTGGTTGTGTTGTGGTTGTGGTTGTGTTGTGGTTGTGTTGGGGTTGTGTTGTTGTTGTGTTGTGGTTGTGTGGTGGTTGTGTTGTGATTGTGTTGTGGTTGTGTTGTGTTGTGTTGTGGTTGTGTTGTGGTTGTGGTTGTGGTTGTGTTGTGGTTGTGTTGTGGTTGTGTTTTGGTTGTGGTTGTGTTGTGGTTGTGTTGTGGTTGTGTTGTGGTTGTGTTGTGGTTGTGTTGTGTTGTGGTTGTGGTTATGTTGTGGTTGTGTTGTGGTTGTGTTATGGTTGTGGTTGTGTTGTGGCTGTGTTGTGGTTGTGGTTGTGTTGTGGTTGTGTTGTGGTTGTGCTGTTTTTGATTTGTGGTTGTGTTGTGGTTGTGTTGTTGTTGTATTGTGGTTGTGTTGTGGTTGTGTTGTGGTTATGTTATGGTTGTGTTGTGATTGTGTTGTGGTTGTGGTTGTCTTGTGGTTGTGGTTGTGTTGTGGTTGTTTTGGGGTTGTGTTGTTGTTGTGATGTGATGTGGTTGTGTGGTGGTTGTATTGTGGCTGTGTTGTGGTTGTGTTGTGGTTGTGGTTGTGTTGTGGTTGTATTGGGGTTGTGTTATTGTTGTGTTGTGGTGGTGTGGTGGTTGTGTTGTGATTGTGTTGTGGTTGTGTTGTGTTGTGGTTGTGTTGTGGTTGTGGTTGTGTTGTTGTTGTGTTGTGGTTATGTTGTGGTTGTGTTGTGGTTGTGTTGTGGTTGTGTTGTGGTTGTGGTTGTGGTTGTGTTGTGGTTGTGTTGTGGTTGTGTTGTGGTTGTGTTATGGTTGTGTTGTGGTTGTGTTGTGGTTGTGTTTGTGTTGTGGTTGTGTTGTGGTTGTGTTGTGGTTGTGTTATGGTTGTGGTTGTGTTGTGGCTGTGTTGTGTTGTGTTGTGGCTGTGTTGTGGTTGTGGTTGTGTTGTGGTTGTGTTATGGTTGTGTTGTGGTTGTGTTGTGGTTGTGTGGTGGTTGTGTTGTGATTGTGTTGTGGTTGTGTTGTGTTGTGTTGTGGTTGTGTTGTGGTTGTGTTGTGGTTGTGTTGGGGTTGTGTTGTGGTTGTGTTGTGGTTGTGTTGTGGTTGTGTTGTGGCTGTGTTGTGGTTGTGTTGTGGTAGTGGTTGTGTTGTGGTTGTGTTGTGGTTGTGTTGTGTTGTGGTTGTGGTTGTGGTTGTGTTGTGGTTGTGTTGTGGTTTTGTTATGGTTGTGGTTGTGTTGTGTTGTGATTGTGTTGTTTTGTGGTTGTGTTGTGGTTGTGTTGTGGTTGTGTTGTAGTTGTGTTGTGGTTGTGTTGTGGCTGTGTTGTGGTTGTGTTGTGGTTGTGTTGTGGTTTTGTTATGATTGTGGTTGTTTTATGGTTGTGGTTGTGTTGTGGCTGTGTTGTGGTTGTGTTATAGTTGTGGTTGTGGTTGTGTTGCGGTTTTATTGTGGTTGTGTTTGGCTGCGTTATGGTTGTGTTGTGGTTGTGTTGTGGTTGTGTTGTGGTTGTGTTGTGATTGTGATTGTGTTGTGGCTGTGTTGTGTTGTTTTGTGGTTGTGTTGTCGTTGTGTTGTCGTTTTGTTGTGGTTGTGTTGTGGTTTTGTTGTGGTTGTGGTTGTGTTGTGGTTCTGTTGTGGTTGTGTTATGTTTGTGTGGTGGTTGTATTGTGGCTGTGTTGTGGTTGTGTTGTGGTTGTGGTTGTGTTGTGGTTGTATTGGGGTTGTGTTGTTGTTGTGGTGTGGTTGTGTGGTGGTTGTGTTGTGATTGTGTTGTGGTTGTGTTGTTATGTGGTTGTGTTGTGGTTGTGGTTATGTTGTGGTTGTGTTGTGGTTGTATTGTGGTTGTGTTGTAGTTGTGTTGTGGTTGTGTTATGGATGTGTTGTGACTGTGACTGTGTTGTGGTTGTGGTTGTCTTGTGGTTGTGGTTGTGTTGTGGTTGTATTGGGGTTGTGTTGTTGTTGTGATGTGATGTGGTTGTGTGGTGGTTGTATTGTGGCTGTGTTGTGGTTGTGGTTGTATTGTGGTTGTATTGGGGTTGTGTTGTTGTTGTGTTGTGTGGTGGTTGTGTTGTGATTGTGTTGTGGTTGTGTTGTGTTGTGGTTGTGTTGTGGTGTGGTTGTGGTTGTGTTGTGGTTGTGTTGTGGTTGTGTTGTGGTTGTGTTGTGGTTGTGGTTGTGGTTGTGTTGTGGTTGTGTTGTGGTTGTGTTGTGGTTGTGTTGTGGTTGCGTTGTGGTTGTGTTGTGGTTGTGTTGTGGTTGTGTTGTGGATGTGGTTGTGGTTGTGTTGTGGTTGTGTTGTGGTTGTGTTATGGTTGTGGTTGTGTTGTGGTTGTGTTGTGGTTGTGTTGTGCTTTTGTTATGGCTGTGGTTGTGTTGTGGCTGTGTTGTGGTTGTGTTGTGGTTGTGGTTGTGTTGTGGTTGTGTTGGGGTTGTGTTGTTGTTGTGTTGTGGTTGTGTGGTGGTTGTGTTGTGATTGTGTTGTGGTTGTGTTGTGTTGTGTTGTGGTTGTGTTGTGGTTGTGGTTGTGGTTGTGTTGTGGTTGTGTTGTGGTTGTGTTTTGGTTGTGGTTGTGTTGTGGTTGTGTTGTGGTTGTGTTGTGGTTGTGTTGTGGTTGTGTTGTGGTTGTGTTGTGGTTGTGTTGTGTTGTGGTTGTGGTTATGTTGTGGTTGTGTTGTGGTTGTGTTATGGTTGTGGTTGTGTTGTGGCTGTGTTGTGGTTGTGGTTGTGTTGTGGTTGTGTTGTGGTTGTGCTGTTTTTGATTTGTGGTTGTGTTGTGGTTGTGTTGTTGTTGTATTGTGGTTGTGTTGTGGTTGTGTTGTGGTTATGTTATGGTTGTGTTGTGATTGTGTTGTGGTTGTGGTTGTCTTGTGGTTGTGGTTGTGTTGTGGTTGTTTTGGGGTTGTGTTGTTGTTGTGATGTGATGTGGTTGTGTGGTGGTTGTATTGTGGCTGTGTTGTGGTTGTGTTGTGGTTGTGGTTGTGTTGTGGTTGTATTGGGGTTGTGTTATTGTTATGTTGTGGTGGTGTGGTGGTTGTGTTGTGATTGTGTTGTGGTTGTGTTGTGTTGTGGTTGTGTTGTGGTTGTGGTTGTGTTGTTGTTGTGTTGTGGTTATGTTGTGGTTGTGTTGTGGTTGTGTTGTGGTTGTGTTGTGGTTGTGGTTGTGGTTGGGTTGTGGTTGTGTTGTGGTTGTGTTGTGGTTGTGTTATGGTTGTGTTGTGGTTGTGTTGTGGTTGTGTTTGTGTTGTGGTTGTGTTGTGGTTGTGTTGTGGTTGTGTTATGGTTGTGGTTGTGTTGTGGCTGTGTTGTGTTGTGTTGTGGCTGTGTTGTGGTTGTGGTTGTGTTGTGGTTGTGTTATGGTTGTGTTGTGGTTGTGTTGTGGTTGTGTGGTGGTTGTGTTGTGATTGTGTTGTGGTTGTGTTGTGTTGTGTTGTGGTTGTGTTGTGGTTGTGTTGTGGTTGTGTTGTGGTTGTGTTGTGGTTGTGTTGTGGTTGTGTTGTGGTTGTGTTGTGGCTGTGTTGTGGTTGTGTTGTGGTAGTGGTTGTGTTGTGGTTGTGTTGTGGTTGTGTTGTGTTGTGGTTGTGGTTGTGGTTGTGTTGTGGTTGTGTTGTGGTTTTGTTATGGTTGTGGTTGTGTTGTGGTTGTGTTGTGTTGTTTTGTGGTTGTGTTGTGGTTGTGATGTGGTTGTGTTGTGGTTGTATTGTTGTTGTGTTGTGGTTGTGTTGTGGTTGTGTTGTGGTTGTGTTGTGGTTGTGGTTGTGTTGTGGTTGTGTTGTGGTACTGTTGGGGTTGTGTTGTGGTTGTGTTTTGGTTGTGTTTTGGTTGTGTTGTGGTTGTGTTGTGGTTGTGTTGTGGTTGAGTTGTGATTGTGTTGTGGTTGTGTTATGGTTGTATTGTTTTTTTTTTTGTGTTCGTTTATTTCTGTTCCCAAGTTGTTACATTTAAAAAAGATTTACCACCGGAGCACGGGTATGCAGCTAGTAGATAATATAACGCTGGTGGTAGTGTTTCAATCATTCCGTCATCGCTATAGATTTTGGAACAATAAAGTAATCCTCGAACAATGCGGTGCTTTAAATTTACATCGCATTGTCTTATTAAAAGAAATACAGAAGGGATTATTTATATATCGACTTAAAATTTATGTATACATGACACTTTTTACACTGTTTTTACCCTTTTTGCATAACCCGAAGAAATATAAAAAAAACGCACATTGCTAAAATATATTGAACGGATCAATGTCAAATATTTTTGCTCTGATTTCTTGAAAAAATGGATACATTTTAAGGGTCGAAAAAACTAATTAATTAAAATCTTTTATAATTTTGCCAGTAATTTAAAAAGAAATTCAACTCACACTAATAAAAAAAAATGTTAATGCAAATTCCGCGGACGTGTACGAGTGCATTATTGCTGGAATATTATAATTAGCGTGGACTGATATTTAAGTTGTGTTTAATATGCGTAAGCGTTTTTTTTTTGTTGTGTTTGCATTTGTTTTTGCGTTTGCATTGTGTTTGCGTTTTCTTTTTTTTTTCAAAATATGTATGTTTTTCTATGCATATATCTTTTCTACGTGGACATGTACATATATATTTAGTGGCAGATTGCAGATATAGGTGCAACGACTTTCTATATTATTCTTCTTTTAAACAGAATTCAAACATTGTTATTCCAAGATCAGCACACGGACAATATATCATTTTACAAGCCACACCCACAAGTGCTGAGAGGTAAAAGATTTTCTGTCCAACTAGATGCCGTATATTTCGTTTGTATTTCGTGTGTCCTTCACCAATTTTGTTCATTCGTCTATTTCTCAACTGTATATTGTTATGTTTGTCCGTCTTAAAATTTGTTTGGTTTCATCTACGTTTGTTATAGCAACCCAGGTTTTGTTTAGGGTTAACTAAGTTTGTTATAGCGACCCAAGATTTGTTTAGGTTTAACTAAGTTTGTGATAGGCGACCATGTTTTGTTTAGGTTTAACTAAGTTTGTGATAGGCGACCATGTTTTGTTTAGGTTTAACTAAGTTTGTGATAGGCGACCATGTTTTGTTTAGGTTTAACTAAGTTTGTGATAGGCGACCATGTTTTGTTTAGGTTTAACTAAGTTTGTGATAACCGACCATGTTTTGTTTAGGTTTACCTTTACGATCGAGTGCTGGTACGACGTCACCGTGCAGCTTGAGGCCTTGTTTAACTTCGAAGGAGATGAGAATGAAGTCCTCGTCACCAAACGCATCAGCGGCGTTTGGGACACTGAGTACGAATGCTGCTGCGTTTTTCCCTTCACAGTCAACACGGCTTTCACAATGAGGATTATGTACACAACCACGGATATTGAGGTACATGTGCAGTGCGTTAAGAAAACGCACTAGTATCAATCTGAACCGAGATTCACTAAATACATTTTAATTAAAATCATCATAATTATTTAAAATGAAAACTATCAAAAGCCTAAACCAATAAAAATATGTTTTACAAGTCAAACGTAATCCTGAGCAAACACACGAATATAAACCTATGCGCGTAATTGAAATTAACATCCACAAACAATAAATTGCCAAAGTACATATGTAAGTATACAGTGACAGTGGCAGTGGCAGTCGCAGTAGCAATCACAGTCGCAGTCACAATCAGAATCAGAATCAGAAGCACAATCAGAAGCACAATCCGCAAATCGCAAATCGCAAATCGCTAGCAGAATATGGGTTAATTGATTTGTTTTCATGTGTGTTTGTGTTTTTTTTTTTTTGGGGGGGGAAGCTTAAAAGCTTTTTTTCCCCTTAGATAACTGTAGGAGATGCAGATGAATTCAAGTACACGCAGCCGTCTGTAAGCGGTTGCACAGAGGAAAAACTTGTCTGGAGCCAAATGACCGTCTCCACACTGCACACCACGTGAACCATCTCAATCGACTGACCAAATGACAAGATACTGACAATCGACTGACCAAATGACAAGATACTGACAATTCACAGACCAAATGACAAGATACTGACAATTGACAGACCAAATGACAAGATACTGACAATCGACAGACCAAATGACAAGATACTGACAATTGACAGACCAAATGACAAGATACTGACAATTGACAGACCAAATGACAAGATACTGACAATTGACAGACCAAATGACAAGATACTGACAATTGACAGACCAAATGACAAGATACTGACATTTGACAGGCCGAATGACAAGATACTGACAATCGACTGACCAAATGACAAGATACTGACAATCGACTGACCAAATGACAAGATACTGACAATCGACTGACCAAATGACAAGATACTGACAATCGACTGACCAAATGACAAGATACGGACAAGTGACAGACCAAATGACAAGATACTGACAATCGACTGACCAAATGACAAGATACTGACAATCGACTGACCGAATGACAAGATACTGACAATCGACTGACCGAATGACAAGATAGTGACAATCGACTGACCGAATGACAAGATAGTGACATTTGACAGACCGAATGACAAGATACTGACAATCGACAGACCGAATGACAAGATAGTGACATTTGACAGACCAAATGACAAGATACTGACAATTGACTGACCAAATGACAAGATACTGACAATTGACTGACCAAATGACAAGATACTGACAAGTGACAGACCAAACGACAAGATACTGACAAGTGACAGACCAAACGACAAGATACTGACAGTTGACATACATAATGCTGTTATATTGACAATTGACTGACCGAATAATGTTTTTCTGCTGGGTAGATGTATTTATAGAAATGTTTTGGAAAGTCACTAGTAAAACTTCTTTTTTAACACTGCGGAGTCCTATTCGGTTGCCGCATATAAACGTTTAAGCGACTGCTTGATAAAACTAACCAAAATTAACGTACATATTGTAATACTAATTCAAATAATGATTCGTGAAAGAAATTGGACGTAGTTGTGTTATCTACCAAAACAATTTTCTTTTTCCTTAAAAACGAAGTAATTAACTTTCTTCAATAAGAAAATAATTACTTAAAATTTACAAATTATTATCTCAGTTATGTCTGGGTTTTAAGTTAAATCGTAAAAAAAAATAGCCTTTTTACCGCAGAGGTGTTTAGAAAATAATGGAGCGGAAAAAACTAGTTCCGGTAAAAATTGAACAAAAACTCCGGGCTTAAAAAAATTAAAGAAAAAAATTCTTAAAATATTTATTTGGCCATTAAACAGGTGGAATATGCATTTTCAGTTAGCTGCTTTTCTGTAGATTAGCTTCTGTAGAGTCAGCTTCCGGGTAGTTAGGTTTCAAACATATTTTATAACCAATAACAAAATACTTTTTTTAAAAATTTAATTGTTTATATTTATATACGGTATAGGTACTTTTTATTCTATTCTGTATATTCTATCCTATGGGTATTTCTACAGTAATATAACAACTGAAAGAAAATTAATTATAGTGTTTAAAATGTTATGTGAGAAAAGTAATTCTTCTTCTTTGTCTTTCTTAATTTTAATTTTGGAAGTTATTTTCTTCAACACTTATGTGTCAACACTTTATGTATTTTGTGTTTCGTGGTTTTTTTTTTCTTTCTTTTTTCTTTGTGTTTCGTTGAATCTAATTTCAACATGCTTTCCTTTCTATACTTGATTCCAACAAAGAATTAAACCTTTTTAATCGTAATGGTGTAAAACGTCTAAAGTACTCATCGTCTAAATTAATGATTTAAAAATTAATATTGAAAGTGTTGTAAAACAATTTTCATTTTTTAAACTTATAGTGACAATTTTCGGCATGTCCATCACACAAAACTTTAAAAAATGTATCACCTTTCAAAAAACATCTAATTATGTCTGAAAATTATTTACATTTAGTTATTTAGAACTCATTACGTCACCTGATAAATTAGGCGAACGCAATTACTTCCCTTTATAATAAACATTACATAGGGTGGAGAAATTTATTTTTATTATTTTGTTTTGGTGTTGGGAAAAAAAACAAATTACATAATTAGCAGAGATTGATCAAGTGCAATGTGGTAGGTATTTCAAATAGTGCCTTTTGTTTATTTTATACACTGGACGTACTGTTTACTAATTATTTTTGAATCAAGAACAGTTAAGAAGCCAGCCCCTAAATGCCCTCTATGTTTACTTCTTTCCGTTAGCGGATGAGCTTGGGGTATTATAATTGTTCACTAAATTAAAACAAGCCAGTCAGCCGGCGCCCTGGCACGGCTCGATTTGGCAATCTGGGCTATCCTATAAACACTATGAAGCACAATTTCTTTTTAAACAGTGCGGTAGACTATGGATAAGATGGGTTACTATAGTCTTTAAGTAAATCAAATCCGGCCGTCCTCCGACACTCTGACAGGGTGCTATTTGGTGCCCCGGGCCTTCCCTTGTTCGCTATGGCGCTTACGCTCGGTTAAGTGGCTGCAAAAGAATATGAATAAGTTGGGGTACTATAGTCGTTTACTAACTTGAATCAGGTGGTTCCACCGGCGCCACATAATGATGCGATTTGGCGCCCGGGGCTAGACTGTCAGCACTTGTAGTGTATGTTTGCGTTTGTGTTTTTTTGTGTTTGGGTTGGCGTTTGTAGTTGGGTTTGTTTTGATTTGTTTTGTTTTCGTTTACTTTGTGTTTTCTTTGTGTTTGCGTTTGCGTTTGTGGTTGGGGTTGTGTTTGCGTTTGTGTTTGTATTTGTGTTTGTGCTTGCATTTGTGTTATGTTTGCGTTTTTTTTTTGTATTTTGGTTTTTGCTGGTTCTGGTTAGGGTGGTCGATGTCGGGTATGTGCGGATTACTAAACACACATGTCGTGGTCATTTAAAGATAGGTTTTTCACAGAGGCCAACGCAGGGCCTGGCCGGAACGGCTAGTATATATATTGTTTGTAAATTTATGGACAGATGCATTTCTGTAGAAGAATTTTTGAGAGTTTCAACAACTTTATTTAGTTATTTCAGAAGTGAAGCATTTATTTTATTCCTTTCGGTGATGGCACATTTTCTTTAACGCTACATACTATATTATGTGAGGATTTCTTGTTTAGCAATTTTTTGTAGTAATTTTTCAAGTTTACCTTAAAATGTTTTTTTGAGACCAAACGGAGGTGTTAAAGATAAAGTAATTTTTTGTACCCGTTATTTTGATTCAATATAATTATTATACGCTAAAATCTGAAGTCTAAAATTTTAATACAAGTATTTTCTATTAAAATATTATTTACCATCAAATATAACATAATGCATTCATGTTAACAAAAATAAATTACTTTAAGCTAGAAATTCGCATAGGAACAAAAAAATAACTTGGATATCAAAAACATACACCCTTTCAAAAATTTACTCATTTCTTTTATTGCAAACTAAAACCTTTTCAATGCATTTTTAAAATTAATGTGATAAGCTTGTTGGAATTATTGAAATATAATAAATAGCATTTAATAGTTTTGTGAGACAAATCAAATCACTATATTAATTTAATATGAATTTTATTGTCATTTGATCCTTCCATAATTGCCTAGGTTCTAAAAATTAAAAAAGTAGGTTTGTAATATCAAAATAAAAATGTTTTACTCGAAATAATTCTTTTGTGATAAAAGCTTTTTATCTCTTTTATAAATATATAAATATATAAATATATATATATATATATATATATATATATATATATATATATATATATATATATATAAATATATATATATATATATATATATATATATATATACATATATATATATATAAAGCAAAGTGGTCACGATGGTGCCTTGGGGCGATAGAACACGAGGGCCGGTGACGGTTGGCGGAAAAGTCCACGGAGAGGGGGTCAAAACTGACCTCGACTGACCGACGCCTTATATGGGCTTTATTACGAAAAAAAACTTTTGCCGAACGACCCCCCTTGAAATTTTGTGAGGTGGTAGAAGAACGCCTGGGGGTGTCACAAAAAACTCGGCTTATCTGGAAAAACTTCGTAAAGGGGTCAAAACTGACCAGTAGTATTCCCCTATATAATCTTGGTATTTTATGGGAAAAACAGAGGGTAATTTCAACATAGATTTTAGGGCACTTACGCTCCGCACATCTGGCTAATATTTTGCATGCACCTAGGTAAATGGATTGGCCTTTTCGGAAAACTGTCGGTTTGACTCAAAGCCCTCGGAGAGGGCTAAAACATGACCGCGAGTGAAAATCTCCTTATTTGAGCTAAATAACGGGGTGGAAGGGGAACACCTAGGGGTGTCAGAAAAAAACTCGCCATGTCCGGGAAAAATCTGAAAATGAGTCAAAACGTTTTTTTAATTAATTTTTTTTTGGCACATTCGTTTTTGTCTGTCATTTTTTTTTGCGCACAAAGGGGAATTTGTTTTTGTCAAACGCACCAAACATTCTGAACGTTGCCTTTTTTTTTACGTCACCAAAGTGCGTACCTTTATTTTAAAGAAGACGTTTTTAAGATTACATTTAGCGGTGTAAAGTTTTACTACTGAAAAAACAATTGGATAAGATGGGTTACTATAGTCTTGAAGTGAATCAAATCCGGGCACCCTTCGGCGCCTAGACAGGGTGCTATTTGGCGCCCCGGGTTTTCCCTTGTTCATTTTGGCGCCTATATTCATTTAAGTGAGTGCAAAAGACTATGAATAAGTTGGGGTAATATAGTCGTTTACTAAGCTGAAACAGGCGGTTCAGTCGGCGCCCCAACATGTTGCGTTTTGGCGCCCCGGGGTAGACTGTGAGCACTTTGCGTTTATGTTTCTTGTTTGCTTTTGAGTTTTTTTTTGTGTGTATGGGTTAGGTTAGCGTTTGTAGTTGGGTTTGCGTTTGGATTTGGTTTGTTTTCGTTTGCTTTTTTGTTTGTGTTTTCTTTGCATTTGTGGTTGGGTTTGTGTTTGTGTTTGCGTTTGTTTTTGTATTTGTGTTAACGTTATGTTTGCGTTTTTTTTTCGTTTTGGTTGGTTGTGGTTAGGATGGGTAATGCCGGGTATATGCTGATTACTAAACACACATGTTTACATATAGGTTTTTCACAGAGGCCAGTGATATATATATATATATATATATATATATATATATATATATATATATATATATATATATATATATATATATATATATATATACTTCAGCAGTAACTGTTCTACTATCATACACTGCTTCAAGGATAAAACAAAAAAAAATGCATGTAGTTTAGAGTGAAAATTAGGCAAACCCTTAAACGACTACCATGACAAATCACTCCTCTTTAAATAGTTGAATACGGGTGCCCAATAAGCTCATTTTTATAGTATTGTACTAGGCAAATTAAAAAGCAATGTCTTCTCTTAATTATTATTAAAAAAGAGCATACTAAATAATGACACAGCTATTAAAAAGAATGTATTCAAAATTATTAATATAATTGCAAAAACTCATAAGAATCAAACAAACACGGGAAAGCTACAGTTAACGCAAATGCATAACATAAACACAACTTAAAAGCAAACATAAACGTGTAGTGCTCACAGTCTAGCCCGGTGCGCCAAATCGCACCCTGTCGGGACGCCGGCGGATCCGCATGAACCAACTTAGTAAACGACTATTATACCCCAACTTATTCATAAATTTTAAAAAATGCAGTATTTAAAATATCCGTATTTTCCATTTTTGCATTTATCAGTCCATGCTAATTTTATTATTCCAACAATAATGTCCCTTAGACATCCGAGGAATTTGCATTCACGTTTTTTTACTAGCGTGAGTTGAATTTCTTTTTAAATTACCCCCCCCCCAGGCATAATTATTAAACATTTTGATTAATTAGTTTTTTTCGACCATACTGTTATTAAAATGTATCCAATTTTTTCTAGAAATCTAGGCGCAAATATTGTTTTAGCAAACTGGGTGTATTAAATATTTTCTTCATGTAATGATATGCGAAAGAGTAAAAACTGTGCCAACTATACACAAAATTTAAGTCGTTATATAAATAAAACCTACACAACTATTTATAATAAGGCTATTCGATGAAAGGAAAAAAGCACTGCGTATGCTGTTCACTTTTATGGTTCCAAAATCTATAGCGATGACTGAGTGATGGACATAATGACTGACACACTACCACCAGCCTCATATTATAGATATAAACATTTGCTATATATATTGGGCCTAAACACATTTTTTTTTCTTTGGGCCTTTTTTCTAGTACTACCACTTAGAGAGTTAGACGATGGACAGCTTCTCATGACTGAGTGTGTGACTTGTCAGAAGACATTTCATTCCAGGATACTAAGATGCACGTTGGATGAATATTTCAAGCAGCTAACAGAGGTTCAACACAATAGGGCTTGTAAGTCTTGGTCCTTCTCACAATTTCAAATCTCTTTAGGCAAGGAGAGATATATATTTTCAAAATAAATTAACTGTTTATGACAGATAAAAATGCCCGTACATTTTTCTGGACCCCGCCTTCGTGATGTTAAAATACCAAAAGTGCCCAACATACAACAGTTATAAAATGTTGACTCATACTAGAGTTAAATTAAGTACTAGGGCGCTTTGGTTGGCTATTTATAATATTATATTAATATAGTAACTGCGTATAGAGCAACGTATTATGGGTTAGAATACACACTAGGAAACAATACCCTTCTTGAAAAAAATCACTCTTTGACGTAGGCTATATTTTTCTTTACATTCGCATACATCTTGTCCTCTATTAAATCATTGTTTACGAATTTAAATAACTTAAAAATAGCGGAAGTAACTTTTCTGTTGTTTTTTTCAAAGTCTTAATAAAAAATATTCCCATTTACTTAAAAAAAAACTAGTTGGCAAATGCGAAAATGAGTAGTTGGTGACCTACTTACAAGCCCTATTTATGGCACGTAGTTGATGGATGCTGAACTGCAACTATTATGAAAGGCACAGCAGAGTTTGTTTTGACCCATTCGTTCATCAACAAAAATATAAACTCAAAGTACTTGTACAAATATTTCAAAAGTCACGAAAGTAAAATAAAATAAAACTACAACCATGATGAAACAAAACATGAAGTGACTATGACAAGCTATTTATGTGTAAGATATGAGACTTGCAATGTTTGACTCAGAACAAAATAACCATGCAGGCAATTAAGACAAACCAATTAAACTATAGTAACTTTTATAGACATGTCAAAGTAGCTATGATATTTATTGAAAAGAGAACCATGTAAACAAGACGAGTCTAAGACGATACAATTATAGAACTGTTTATCAAAGGACAATGTAAATACGACTTAATGACATAACAGTCCAATTAAAACTTTATAAAGACATAACGTTGAAAACGGAACCAATAGTTAATCCATTTTAACATTGACAAGTATTTAAGACACGACATTATAACAAAGAGTTTAAGACACGACGTTGTAACAAAGTGTTTAAGACACGACGTTGTAACAATGTGTTTAAGACACGACATTGTAACAAAGTGTTTAAGACACGACGTTGTAACAAAGTGTTTAAGACACGACGTTGTAACAAAGTATTTAAGACACAATGTTGTAACAAAGTATTTAAGACACGACGTTGTAACAAAGTGTTAAAGACACGACGTTGTAACAAAGTATTTAAGACACGACGTTGTAACAAAGTGTTAAAGACACGACGTTGTAACAAAGTGTTTAAGACACGACGTTGTAACAAAGTATTTAAGACACGACGTTGTAACAAAGTGTTAAAGACACGACGTTGTAACAAAGTATTTAAGACACGACGTTGTAACAAAGTGTTTAAGATACGACGTTGTACCAAAGTGTTTAAGACACGACGTTGTAACAAAGTGTTTAAGACATGACGTTGTAACAAAGTATTTAAGACACGATGTTGCAACAAAGTGTTTAAGATACGACGTTGTAACAAAGTGTTTAAGACACGACGTTGTAACAAAGTATTTAAGATACGACGTTGTAACAAAGTGTTTAAGTCATAATGATTTGAGTCACCGTCACATTCGTCCAGACGATGTAGGCTTCTGTGCAGGCCATAAGGTCAGTCTTCTGGTACTCCGTGTTGTCGTCAACCAATATCTGCTCACGCGGGATAAACAAACGTTCATGTATTAAAATATCACACGCTCATGTAAAAAGAATGAGCTGTTCAAAACTCTTATATTGCTTATTTTTCTAAAGTCCATTATAACGAATTTTTAAATATGATTTACACATCATATTTTGTTTCCTGGATTTATGGTTTTTTATTTAATGTACAGGTCAACTTGTTTTGAAAATAGCCTATCCCCACCCCACTCCACCCCCAAGCATCAAAGTAGTTAGCAAACGGCATACAATACAAAAATTACTCTAAAATTCTGAGTAATAAATAAGTTTACAATGTGGGTGTTGGGTTTCGTTTGTTTTTTGTTTTTTTTTTTTTTTTTTTTTGGGTTTCGTTTGTTTTATTGTATAATTAAACTAAGTATTAGTTTGGAACATTTCATTCTGATTTAAGATTTCGTTTATATGCAAATGTAAAGTTAAGCTAAGTATTAGTTTTAGATTCAAGTTTACTGTATTTTAGGTTCAAAATACAGTGGAAATCAAATTTACTCTTTTATGTTTGTTTGTGAGAACATTTTACATTACGATCAATGTAAATGGATATGTTTATAAAACAGTAGAATCATTACATCTGTGAAACAGTACTTTTTTATATTTGAAAAGTGCATTATAAATAAATGAGGAGTGATCTCCCCTAAACTTTCTCGAATTTTCCTATAAAACAGACACTACGTCAGCCTGTCAAGTTATGTGTGTGCATGATTAAAATACTTGCTCTATACCGTGTATACGAGAAAGAAAAATTAATTTTTTCAACCTCATTGTCTTCAATGTGTTAAATTGATTTAACACCACAAGATGAATTTATTTAATTTTTTGATGTACACTGACCTCCCACTGACCTCACCCTGAACTCACCCTGACCTCACCCTGACCTCATTCTGACCTCACCCTGACCTCACCCTGACCTAACCCTGACCTCACCCAAACCTCCCACTGACCTCACCCTGACCTCACCCTGACCTCAACCTGACCTCACCCTGACCTCAACCTGACCTCACCCTAACCTCACCTTGACTTTCCACTGACCTCCCAATAACCTCCCACTGACCTCACCCTGACCTCACCCTGACTTCCCACTGACCACCCGTTAACCTCACACTGACCTCACCCTGACCTCAACCTGACCTCACCCTGACCTCCCACTGACCTCACCCTGACCTCACCCTGACCTCACCCTGACCTCACACTGACCTCCCAATAACCTCCCACTGACCTCACCCTGACCTTCCACTGACCACCCGTTAACCTCACACTGACCTCACCCTGACCTCACCCTGACCTCACCCTGACCTCACCCTGACCTCCCACTGACCTCACCCTGACCTCACACTGACCTCGCACTTACCTTACACGTACCATACACTTACATTAGCAGTAGGCTCTTTCATTGCCAGTTTCATCCGGAACTCCTTGTTGTTCGCAAACGGAAAATTATCGTTGCAGCAGCACTGCGAATTTGTGTCCCACGCTTCGTTGACTCGGTGGTTGATGAGTACTTCTTCATGGTCCGTGCTCAGCACCGCCTCAAACAACAGCGCCACATCGTTAATCAGGTCTCTCTTGCACTCCACTGCGATGGCGAATCTGTATTGAAATACGACTGCGTTTTATTCATATTTATCAGAATAAACAAGTTAATTAAACAAGTTAATTAAAAAGTCTAGTGACAATTTTAGCGCAATTTCCTTATATCGAACCTCAGCTTATTAATAGGGTACAAAAATAACGTTTGATTTAATAAGTAAATTAAATCGAGATAAATCATATATTGAGCAAATAAATAATGCAACACAAGTAGTTTTAATAATTCAAAACAAAATAGAAAAAATATTTATTAACGAGATTTTTTAAAAAATCCTTTCGAACCTCCGCTCATTCGCTATGGTAAAATCCTTTCGAACCTCAGCTTATTAATAGGGTACAAAAATAACGTTTGAATTAATAAGTAAATTAAATCGAGATAAATCATATATTCAGCAAATAAATAATGCAACACAAGTAGTTTTAATAATTCAAAACAAAATAGAAACTAGCCTCCCGTATCAGTCGAAAAAAAAGGGGAGAGTAGCCTCCCGTATCAGTCGAAAAAAAAGGGGGAAAATTTAAAAAATCCTTTCGAACCTCCGCTCATTAAAATCCTTTCGATCCTCAGCTTTTGCGCTAAAAACCTACAAGACGCTCAGTTTAAAAATTCTTAATTAATTTTTTGTGACCGAACGAAAGGATATTTTTGAAAACTTTCTTCGGCAATATTGGTTTAAATTATGGCAGGAATCGATTGGTAAATGTTTCAAGTCGCTAAGTGGTCTGGTTGCCTAGATATGTAGCAAAAACTGAATTTGTTCGAGGTTTTTTGGCTTTTACGGGAAATCCATGAAAGAAACCCGGAATTTTTATGGCCTATGTTCATCCTCGTAACTGGCTTAACATAATTGCTTTTGGAACTAGTCATCGATATTGCTTCGTTGAGGAGGAGATACGACTTAAAGCTGCGGACACACATTCATCCATCCATCCATCCATCCATCCAGAAATGACGGGTTAATAAACGCAATTCTCCAGAATGGAAATTGCGCTAAAAAGTCTAGTGACATTTATGCGCAATTTCCTTATGTTATCTAAAAATAGCTCTGACGTATAATGCTGGGGTGCGTTCAAGCTAGAAGAACGATCGGTTTGTAGGTGTTTATGTAATTTTAAAATTTGTGACCGAACGAGAGGATATTTTTGAAAACTTTCTTCGGCAATATTGTTCTAAATTATGGCAGGAATCGAATGGTACATGTTTCAAGTCGCTAAGTGGTCTGGTTGCCGAGATATGGGCCAAAAACTGAATTTTTTCGAGGTTTTTTGGATTTTCCGGGAAATACATGAAAGAAACCCGGAATTTTTATGGCCAATGCTCATTCTCGTAACTTGCTTAACATAATTGCTTTTGGAACTAGTCATCGATATTGCTTCGTTGAGGAGGAGATACGACTTAAAGCCCGGACACACATTCATCCATACATTCATTCATTCATTCATTCATCCATCCATTCCCAGAAATGACGAGTTAATAAACGCAATTCTCCAGAATGGAAATTGCGCTAAAAAATCATGACTACAAATTTGGGTAGACATTTCACGGATGAACTATCCACCAGAAACGCTATACATATTCGAAATTCGACTCTATTTAACACAGCATTTTTGTTTGTTTTTAAGCAGCGCCAACAAATTATATTTGATATATCGTTGATGAATTAGTTTAAAAGCTCTGCTTAAGTGTAGGAGTGAGTGTAGTGATTGACTTGGGACTGAGTGTAGTGATTGACTTGGGACTAGGTTGAAATTCAGACAGACAGGCTTACTTGACGCCGTTGGTGGGACGACCACGGATGATGATAATCTTTCCATGACTGGGCCTCGTTGTTAAGAGTGGCAGTGACTTGTAGTAAAGAGCATCAAAAATGTGTTATGTTTAATTAACATACATATTCGATACATGTTTAGATATTTTAATATACAGATTTTTTCTAATAAGAATATTGCTACTAATTTCTAAGTTGAAATTACACAGAATACTCACGGGAAAGTTGGTCTGAAAAGATTTTATATATATATATATATATATATATATATATATATATATATATATATATATATATATATATATATATATATATATATATATATAATTGTACTACATCATTGAATAATTGCTTAAAATATTTTCTTAAATAGGCCCATTAAATGGAAGTCGAATGTTGCTTCCAGATTGAATTTTATGAAAATTAAATATGCTAGTTTTTTAACCTTGAATTCATCAAGAAAAGCCGGTTTTTTTTTTCAATTTGGCCGTCATTGCCATAGCAACCATACTTTGATGTATGCAAACATTTTAGTATAAGCACCAGTGAATTACTATATAGTGGCTTACCATATAGAGTATCGGGTAAATGACCACCTAGTGCCTTATTAAAGTATCCAGTAAATGACCACCTAGTGCCTTATTAAAGTATCCAGTAAATGACCACCTAGTGCCTTATTAAAGTATCCAGTAAATGACCACCTAGTGCCTTATTAAAGTATCCAGTAAATGACCACCTAGTGCCGTACTAAAGTAAGTAAATGACCACCTAGTGCCGTACTAAAGTAAGTAAATGACCACCTTACCGAATAGTATATCCATTCAACTGATACTTGGTCACGTATTTGGATATATTTCACGTTGTTCAACGACTGAAGATTCTTTGGCTCTGAGATCTTTTTATTGTCAATGAACACCTGTTGTTCACGTGATGATAAGATTGACACAGATGAACTTTTATGGTTAATTAACAGTTTGTGGTATTTCAAGCTTATATAAGGCTCTAGTCCAAGATCACCCCCCACCCCATCTAGAGCACAGCAAGAGATAAAGATCAGTGGAGCTTTAGGGAGCGATCTCCCCTAAACTTTCTCGAATATTCTATTATAAAAAAAACAGGGATTGGGAACTCGGGATATAGACATGAATTTTAATCCATTTTAAATACTTAAACTTTTTAAAATAGAATAAAATCTCGTAGAAAAAAGAATTGCACACCTGTGAACGCCAAATAAAACGTGCATAATACTGCGGAATATTATTAGTACTTTATAAATTTACATGCGTTTTTTGAGAAATCGGAAATAGCGTAAATTAGTACTTTCAATCAACGGAAATTACTCAAAATTTGACAGAAAGTAGATCTTTTACTTATATGTGAAATGTCATTCATCCATCTGATATAGTTCTCAAGTTATAGGCTTTTGAAAAATTCAAAGTAGAAAAAGTACCACTTCCGTTTATCGGAAATCGCTCAAAAGTTGATCAGGATCTACGATGTTAATAAAATACTTATATATGAAATTTTATCAACCTAGCTGTAACGGTACCCAAGTTATCGTGTTTACACACAGGCACACACACACACACACAGACATACGAAAAGAATTGCAAAGTCCAGTTTTTACGACTCGATAACGCATAAAACGCCAAAATGTTTATATATTTGTATTTATATTTTTTGCCTGATTAAAATAAGTCCTCTATACTCCGGATGTGATGAAGGACTGCGGAGTAAAACGGTGAAAACTGTCGAAATTTCATTGTTTTTTTGGTGCACGATTACAATACTTTCTCTGTACTTCGTATATACGAAAAAGTAAAAACACAAAGCATGTAAATATTAGAATAACCAAATAAGACACAGAGAATCTCTAAAAAGATTTACAGCGCCAATGTTGAACTTTAAATTGCATTTATAGAGATCAAACAAGCCAAAATTTAAGCACAAAATACTTTAAATGTTAGGAATTTGGACAATGACTAGTTTAATTTTGGGTTGTTTTTTTTTCGGTAAAAAATCGTTTAAATCCATATTTTAAAACAAGTACAAAGTGTGTAAATATTCATGAGCTACATTACTGATTACATCCACTTTAAATAGCTGCACCCATGAGAGAGAGTTCTTTTGGGCCCCTTACTTACCCTACAGAACACGACGTCACATTAAATTGTACGGCTAAGGCGGCAGCTAAAGAGACACTAGAAAAACCTGTTTGGTACAGGAACGGGGAGGTTTTCAAAGAAGGTAGGAATGGAATTAACAACTACATTATTTGTTGAGCAGTGGGCTGGTCTAGGAAAATAGACTTTGATTGTAAAGGTGTGTAGAATCATATACTGTTTTGGAGGTCAGGGTTAGTCGGTAAAGCTCATGGTTGCTAAACCGAAAAGTCTCGAGTTCGAACCCTCGGGCAGATGAGGCTCGTTAGCTGGGGACAGCCACTCCTTTCTAGGAGAGACAACTCCAAAATTTAATAAAAAACTGCTCTCTTGTAGTTTGTTCTTGGTTGGACAAAGGCTATGGAACCAAATCCAAAAAGAAAAGCAGGCTGAAATCGGAGTTAATGGCCTCAATGGCGCATAATCAGTTGACACATATCCTAAATTGTGATGGAGGCGTGGTCGAGTCGGCAAAAACTCATGGTTGATAAATTGGTAAAAAGTCTGGAGTTCAAACCCTCGGGCAGATCTCGTTCCCTCCCAACACTAAAAATTAAGAACGAAGCAGAAGAAATGCTGTGTTTTATTAGTTATTTTGTTTTCAAGAGTTAGAATATTCAATACTTTAAAAGTTTGGTTTTTGAAGCGATTATGAATTATTCATGTTGTTTAGGCGTTTTTTTCAGGTTACAAATGGTTTTCATGTTTGAGATACACCAATATATATGTTTCGAGCAAATCCTTGTATTTTTTTTTAAATCTATGAATGAATACACGACTTCCTGTTTGTATGTTTATTTGTTTGGGGCTACATCAGGGTCATAGGTAGGTGGGGCTACGTCAGGTCATAGGTAGGTGGGGCTACATCTTTTACGACGGCTACATCAGGGTCATAGGTAGGTGGGGCTACATCTTTTATGACGGCTACATCAGGGTCATAGGTAGGTGGGGCTACATCAGGGTCATAGGTAGGTGGCGCTACCTCAGGGTCATAGGTAGGTGGGGCTACGTCAGGTCATAGGTAGGTGGGGCTACGTCAGGTCATAGGTAGGTGGGGCTACATCAGGTCATAGGTAGGTGGGGCTACATCAGGGTCATAGGTGGGTGGCGCTACCTCAGGGTCATAGGTAGGTGGGGCTACGTCAGGTCATAGGTAGGTGGGGCTACCTCAGGGTTATAGGTGGGTGGGGCTATATGGTATAGGTAGGTGGGGCTACATCAGGGTCATAGGTAGGTGGGGCTAACTCAGGGTCATAGGTAGGTGGGGCTACATCAGGTCATAGGTAGGTGGGGCTATATCAGGGTCATAGGTAGGTGGGACTATATTAGGGTCATAGGTAGGTGGGGCTACATCAGGGTCATAGGTAGGTGGGGCTACATCAGGGTCATAGGTAGGTGGGGCTACATCAGGGTCATAGGTAGGTGGGGATACATTAGGGTCATAGGTAGGTGGGGCTACATCAGGGTCATAGGTAGGTGGGGCTACATCAGGGTCATAGGTAGGTGGGGCTACATCAGGGTCATAGGTAGGTGGGGCTACATCAGGTCATAGGTAGGTGGGGCTACATCAGGTCATAGGTAGGTGGGGCTACATCAGGTCATAGGTAGGTGGGGCTATATGGTATATGTAGGTGGGAGCTACAATAGGGTCATATGTAGGTGGGGCTACCTCAGGGTTATAGGTGGGTGGGGCTATATGGTATAGGTAGGTGGGGCTACATCAGGTCATTGGTAGGTGGGGCTATATGGTATATGTAGGTGGGGGCTACAATAGGGTCATATGTAGGTGGGGCTACCTCAGGGTTATAGGTGGGTGGGGCTATATGGTATAGGTAGGTGGGGCTACATCAGGGTCATAGGTAGGTGGGGCTACATCAGGTCATTGGTAGGTGGGGCTATATGGTATATGTAGGTGGGGGCTACAATAGGGTCATATGTAGGTGGGGCTACATCAGGCAACTAAAAATATTTGCTTTAAAACATTATCAATGTCTTGTCAATGAGGATTATTCTCCCCCCCCCCACCCCCATGCGAAAGCAGCTATCAGTGACGACAGTTTACAGACGACAACAACCAGATCCAGTAAATCTTGTTACCTCCCTTTAATTTCAAATCATTTAACAAAACTATATTATCTGCCCCTAATAGCCTTCACTAGATCGACCGCCTCCGCTATTGTAAACATTCGGTGTGAACCACAGCTCACCAGACTGGTCGGTTGATAGCGTCTAGCTAGTTATCTCCCCTTCTGTTATTGAATATAGTAATCTATCGAGTGGTTTAATATGGTTATCTCCTCTTAGCTTCAAAAACGTAGAATTAATTTCTAATGACTAATTAAACATCAAATTAAATTATTAAAAAATAGATAGACTTGTATTGTCATCAAAGTAGAAAGTACCTGGACAGTTTGAACGAAATCGCTGCATTAGAAGTGGGTCAAATTGAGTTACACTGATATGTGTAAAGTCATCTCTACACATTGACGACAATTCTATTCTATATAAAGTTAACTTCTTTATGTCTATATGCGATAAACATTAACATCATTCCACAGATTCCATCAAAATAAGATCAAAGATCCCAGAAAAGATCAATCTGCTCACCTCACCTGAAATTATTGACCTGACGGTGACCGCTACAAAAGACGCATGTTGCACGCTCACAAGGAAGTGGTACATCAATGAAACTCTCCAGGCTGATTCAAAGTTTGAAAATCCTCCATTCTAGTATGTTTTTCTTAGAATTCGACCTGAAGCTTTATTTAAAGTTATGTTTTCATTTGTTTTTACAAATTTAAGTCATGATTCGGTTTTTCATAACGTCGATAAAACACGTTTTTTTTATTTCTTTCCCCAGTGATTATGGCTCGTCCACGGGTACTTTGTTTATCAACAAGTCCCTGGTGTCACGTGATCAGCTGATGGAAATTGTGGGATACTACAGGTTGAGTCTGTACAACAGGTACCAGACTGTTGACGTCACGTTCTCTCTAACTTTAGAAGGTGAGTACTTCATACAACAGGTACCAGACTGTTGACGTCACTTCATACAACAGGTGTCAGACTGTTGACGTCACGTTCTCTCTAACTTTAGAAGGTGAGTACTTCATACAACAGGTACCAGACTGTTGACGTCACGTTCTCTCTAACTTTAGAAGGTGAGTACTTCATACAACAGGTACCAGACTGTTGACGTCACTTCATACAACAGGTACCAGACTGTTGACGTCACTTCATACAACAGGTACCAGACTGTTGACGTCACTTCATACAACAGGTACCAGACTGTTGACGTCACGTTCTCTCTAACTTTAGAAGGTGAGTACTTCATACAACATGACGTTCCTTGTGTTTCAGCTGTAGACTACGACTTCATCATCCACATATGACACTGAGTGCATTTTCTAGTGCATTATTACCTAAAAGCTTGTTATTAAATAGTTTTTCATGCAGTTTTTTTAGTACTTTAAACTATTTGTTTACAATAGAGCTGCATGACTAAAAAAAATGTTGCGCACCGAATGAACATAATAACTTGCGTATGATAGAAAATTTTAATTAATTCATAAAATATTAATTAAGCATCGAATTAAGTCTAATTTTATGTCATTTGCATCGTCTTCAAGTCTTGACCATCGTACTAACTTTGAAACAAATTTGTCAGTAAGAAGTGTTCGCAATTTTGCTCGCCCGTTTTGATCTAGGACGACAGACTGACGACAGACAGACTGACGACAGAGGAAGCAAGTTAAGCTTGTAATAAAAGCTTGTAACTAACTTTGTGTAGTGTAATAATAAATTTTGTGAATGATTTGAGAAAATTCCATTTTTAGGCTGCTTCACTTTGTAGGTTTATTTTAAGTATAAAGCTGGTGTTTTTCGTCTGTGAAGTTGGTGTTAATTCTATGCTGGGTCAAGTCTATGCCAGGTTTTTGCCGGTTAGATTTTTGCTGTCTGGCATCAATGTAGAGATTTGGTGGATATCTCAGCTAGTTTCGTGCAGGCTGAAATGTGTGTACTTGTGGTCTGCGGGTGCTCTTCAGACACCCCTAATCAACAGCTGCCAAACTCACTAATTTTAATTAGTGACGGTGTTTTACGGTGTGTATCAAATGTTTTTTTATGAAAAACAAAAGAAACGAAAAATTCTGTCACACGTTTTCAGATGGTCCAGAGGCCCTAATCTCTGCTGGTGGAGGGTTCACTGAGTGGTGGATCATCCTACTCTGTGGGGTCCTGGTCATCGTCATCGCCATTGTTGTCGTCGTCGTTATCATCAAAAGCAATTACCCAAGAAATACATATCTATGTAAGTATTTTTTAACAATTTTAATTTCTCTTTTTATTTAAAATGTGTGTTTCGTTTCCAAATTATTGTCTTTTAGACTAAGCAAACCACAAAAGTAGATAAATACTATCAGAAAAATTGCGTTTTAATGTAACATTGTTTTGATTAATAAAAGCAATATTTAATATTCGTACACGGATTTATTTTGAAAGATATAGTATATCTTATTGTGCTGTAAGGTAATGCAATGAAACCTCTTAATTATCTCTTTATGTATCGTAATGTGCTGTAATGTAATGCAATGAAACCTCTTAACTCCCGCTTTTCTGTTGATAGTGGAGAAGAAAGAGCTTAAGCACAATCTCAACCCAGAGGCCGATCTACTGAATCAATCTTTCCAAGAAATTTAAGACAAGACAGAGGCCGATCTACTGAATCAATCTTTCCAAGAAATTTAAGACAGAGGCCAATCTATTCAATTAATCTTTCCAAGAAATTTAAGACAAGACAGAGGCCGATCAACTGAATCAATCGTTCCAAGAAATTTAAGACAAGACAGAGGCCGATCTACTGAATCAATCTTTCCAAGAAATTTAAGACAAGACAGACCGATCTATTCAATTAATCTTTCCAAGAAATTTAAGACAGAGGCCGATCTATTCAATTAATCTTTCCAAGAAATTTAAGACAGAGGCCGATCTATTCAATTAATCTTTCCAAGAAATTTAAGACAAGACAGAGGCCGATCTATACAATTAATCTTTCCAAGAAATTTAAGACAGATGCCAATCTATTCAATTAATCTTTCCAAGAAATTTAAGACAAGACAGATGCTATTAACGTAACAAAGTAATTATTAACATATTTATTAAATCTTTTATAAACCACCACTTTCACGAAAACTAGACAGAATTACCTAAGAAACCAATACCTATTACAAATCAATAAAGTGTATATTTAATTCTACATGTTTTCAAGATATACCAAAATCAGCTGCAATTTACTCTATCTTATTTAGAAAAATGATCCCATCAGCCCAGTTAATGTTAGGTTCCCTATTTGAGATTATCTCACAATAACATATTCCTCGGCTTAGGTATGTCTTCACAACTCTCTGAAAACTGTCTATAGATAGATTGTTCTGCTCCTTTTTAATTTAACTAAATCAACAAAATATTCCTATCCACACCCTTTCAACGTGGGTTACATAGATAATGATAGACATGAACATCGGGACGTGCTGAATTAAAATATTTTATTAGGGCTAAATAATGTATTTTGGTGAAACTCTGGGCGAAGTTTGTTGTTTTTATACTGTATGGGTGTATGTGTATGTTTATGTGTGCACTTGGATAAAAGCAAATAGTTGAGTACTAGCACATTGTATAATGTCAGCATAGATGATGAACACACAGATACATTTCAGATACATTTGGTGTTTGTTGAATTCAATACAGTTATTCTATTTGTGGTAATGTTTTGCATATTTTGAAGTCTTTTTTGTAACACAATTTGTTTTTGATAATTTCTTTGTAAATTTATGAAATGAAACAAAATGTACAAGTGTAATTCATAAAACGTAATGCATATTTCGCTTATCATCATATTTTCAATAAAACCTGTTTGTATTTTGCATATGGTTTGTGTTACCCTACCCAGGGAGAAAATTTTTATGTGCTAACATGTGCTAACGTGTGCTAACATGTGCTAACATGTGCTAACATGTGCTGACACGTGCTAACATGACCTAACATGTACTAACACTGACAGCTTTAAATGCTGATCTGTAGCATTTTTACAAATCGTGTAGTGCCCCGAGGTTTGTAACAGTGTTCTGATCGTGTACCGTATACAGTGGCATCACCAGGTTAACTCCCGGCAGGTGCGGTTCGTGCCCCTCGCTCACGCCTCGCCAAGCTGCTGTGGTAGACTTTAAACTAATGACTTTAACTAATGACTTTAACTATTTACTTTTATTAATGACTTTAACTAATGACTTTAACTAATGACTTTAACTAATTACTTTAGCTAATTACTTTAAATAATTACTTTAACTAATTACATTAACTAATTACTTTAACTAATTACTTTAACTAATTACTTTAACTAACTACTTTTACTAATTACTAAGGTAATTAAATGTGTGCACAACTGTGTTATTTAAAAAAAAATAGAGTGGTCAGTACCAATTCATATTTGTTGAGGTCGAGAAAAGGAAATTTAAAAGAAAAATTGATAACGAATTTTTAATTTCAATTGATAAGATTTGAAAACTGCAATGTCCTTAGTAAATGATTTCGTACTGTATGTGTATTTTAAAATTTTAAATAAAATGTCCATTTGTGAAAATAAAACAAATTTGATCAGATTGCATACCTGCTGAAATGGGACAGGTGGGGTTAAAGTTGATAGTTTAATCATCCTAGTAGAAATAATCTTAGTAGAAATAATCTTAGTCAAAATAATCTTAGTAGAAATAATCTTAGGAGAAATAATCTTAGTAGAAATAATCGTAGTAGAAATAATCTTAGTAGAAATAATCTTAGTAGACTAGGTTCACTCCGAGATTGCGATACATTGTCATCAAAAGAAAGTTTAGCAATACCTATTAATAATGAATCAGGTGAAAAACATACACAAACACAAACACTCATCAGGTGAAAATAGAGTTAAAACCAAATTAGAGTTTCAAATACAGATCTAAAAAAGTGATTAGTGGCACAAGACATGGACGTATTTACTGACAGGCACTAATGTGGAATTTCCAGAACAAAAGAAAAGAGGTAGTTAAAAAAAAACAGACAGTTTGATCTGATGGAAATCACAATGTGTATCAAGTGGACGACTTGATATGTTGTTTGTTGGTTCAGTTAGACAGAACATGAGGGGTCTGTGGTGTAGGTGGTAGAGTTAGACAGAACATAAGAGGTCTGTGGTGTTAGTGGTAGAGTTAGACAGAACATCAGGGGTCTGTGGTGTTGGTGGTTCAGTTAAACAGAACATGAGGGGTCTGTGGTGTTGGTGGTAGAGTTAGACAGAACATAAGGGGTCTGTGGTGTTGGTGGTAGAGTTAGACAGAACATAAGGGGTCTGTGGTGTTGGTGATAGAGTTAGACAGAACATGAGGGGTCTGTGGTGTTGGTGGTAGAGTTAGACAGAACATAAGGGGTCTGTGGTGTTGGTGGTTCAGTTAAACAGAACATGAGGGGTCTGTGGTGTTGGTGGTTCAGTTAAACAGAACATGAGGGGTCTGTCGTTGAAGAGTTAGACCTATGATCACATCACACGAGAGTAAGGTTGAAAGGGGTTGATGAAAGACGACGAAGAGGTAAAAGAACCTTTAAGATTAAGAAAACTTATAACAGACGGCGCAAAGATTAGATGAATCAAGCTGTAGAAAATTACTTATTGATTTTTGAAACTCGAGCAAACAGATCTTAGGCGTCTTATGTAATTAAGTATTGAACGATATATAGTACCATTACGTGAGATACATGTTTGTGTGTCAGTGGTGTGTCGGGGGTCGGCGTGGTCGAGTCGGTAAAGCTCAGGGTTGCTAAACCGAAAAGTCTCGAGTTCGAACCCTCGGGCAGATGAGGCTCGTGGGCTGGGGACAGCCACTCTTCTAGGAGAGACAACTCCAAAATTAAACAACTGCTGCCTTGTAGTTTGTTCTTGGTTGGACAAAGGCTATGGAAGCAAATCCAAAAAGAAAAAAGCAGGCTGAAATCGGAGTCAATGGCCTCAATGGCGCATAACCAATTGACACGTAACGCTTAATTGTGTTGGAGGCGTGGTCGAGTAGGCAAAAAGCTCAGGGTTGATAAATTCGAACAAAGTCTCGATTTCAAACCCACTGGCAGATAAATCTCGATCCCCTTCAACACTAATAATTAAAAACGAAGAAGAAGAAGAAGTGGTGTGTCACCCCTAGAGTCGTAGCGACCCTTCCCGGGGACAAAGTTTGCACCCCCTCAATCTTTCGATTTGCACCCCCCCCCCGCGCTCAAACTTTCGATTTGCACCTCTTAAAACACTATTTAACACTCGAATTAATAACTAGATTAAGTGGAATTATCATTTTTCTCTATATATTTTGCTTTTTTGCCTAGGTGTCACCCTCCTAAATGGTGTCACCCGGTGCGGTCCGCACCCCAACACCCCTTCGCTACGCCTCTGTTGTGTGTGCGTGGGGGGACGGGCAAAATCTCCTTAAAACATTTTATGTATCTTCCACGCTGACAAGACAAATTATCTCAGGAAAAATGATCAAAAGGACAAATGATCAAAAGGACAAATGATCAAAAGGACAAATGATCAAAAGGACAAATGATCAAAAGGACAAATTATCAAAAGGACAAATTATCAAAAGGACAAATGATCAAAAGGACAAATGATCAAAAGGACAAATGGTCAAAAGGACAAATGATCAAAAGGACAAATAATCAAAAGTTATTTTTATCTGAGATCGTTTGCCGATGATATCATTAGTACTTGAGATCATTTATTGTTCTATGATATTTTGTCTGAGACCATTTATCATGAGGTCATGTAACCATTTTCTAATACAAGATTCTAAATATTTAAACCAATGAAGTCTATAACTCCTATGTGCACACAATACTATTACACTAGTGCGTACATCTATTGCGTGAGTACTTAAACAGTAAAAAACAAAATATCTTAAGTCTAAAACCTAAAATTTGCATTTTTGTGCACACGTAGCCTATACGATTACCATACAAAATTCTTGCTTGAGCTCCACTTATGAACGGTAACCTTTTAATCCGCCAGTTAAATGACACGTGTACAGGCCCCAGGCAAGTGTTAGCTAACCTTCCGACCGCCATTTTTCCTTTTGCGTGTCCCAACTTTGTGTGGTGAGCTGCCTGTCAGAAGTTGCTTTTAAATCGAAACCACAACTATTCAAAAAGTTTGAAGGTGTTTTAACATAGCAGTGTAGGTACGTGACAACAAATTTGTTTAGCAAGGTAACATATTTGTTTTTTTTATATATATATTTGGTGCATGGCAAACTGACCCTCGAGACTGTCGTTTCCGAATTCCCCTCCCGCATTAGATTCAGTAGGGAATGCCTACATACTGATATGTACCTTTATAGGTTATGTAAGGATAGCTGGATCTAGAAGTGACTTAACTTGTTTGGCCGTGGTGCGAGCGACAGTTGAACTCTTGTCCGTCAGACACACAGTGTCGTTTACTCACATTTTTCAGTTTTTCACTATTTACATAACTATCCTAGCCGACACTTATTTCAAAAGACCATTCTAGCCGCTCCCATCACACTAGAAGTTTCCCAAAATTTGGCCGACAAACAGGTCGGTTTGTGTGTGTGTGAAAGGAGGGAGGGGAGGGGGGGGGGGGAAGGTTAGGACTCACACTAATAAACCAGTTCACTAATATTTCTGGAACATTCTCAACGCGGGTAAACTTTAATGTATGTTCGCATCTTGTGTGTCAGATCATGCTGTTGGGACTGCAGACTTTGCTATCTTTTCTGGCCAGCTTTTTGTTGGTTAAAGGTGACAACATCACCTACCATCACAACTACAAGCGCAGTTTTACACCAACTTCTGTGGTAAGTCTGTCTTTGAAATCTTGAAGAATCTTTAACAAAACAGTGAAGAAAACAAGAATGCACATACACGCATAAAACATTAATATTTTTTTTAAATACAGAAAAAAAGAAGAAAAAAAAGAAATCATACATTTTTTAAAAAAGTTAATTAATTAATGTATATATATATATATATATATATATATATATATATATATATATATATATATATATATATATAAACAATAAATCAATAAAATCATAAAATAAATCATAAAATCAATAAATCGATAAATCGATAAATCAATAAACCGATAAATCAATAAATCAATAAATAAAAAAATAAAAACCCAATTTATCAAGTAATCAAATAATCAAATAATCAAATAATCAAATAATCAACGAATCAAAGAATCAATAAATCAATGAATCAAATAATCAAATAATCAATTAATCAAATAATCAAATAATCAAATAATCAAATAATCAAATAATCAATTAATCAATTAATCAATTAATCAATTAATCAATTAATCAATTAATCAATTAATCAATTAATCAATTAATCAATTAATCAATTAACCAATTAACCAATTAACCAATTAAACAATTAACCAATTAACCAACTAACCAATTATCCAATTAACCAATTAACCAATTAATCAATTAATCAATTAATCAATTAATCGATTAATCGATTAATCGATTTATCGATTAACCGATTAACCGATTAATCGATTAATCGATTAACCGATTAACCGATTAACCGATTAACCGATTAACCGATTAACCGATTAACCGATTAACCGATTAACCGATTAACCGATTAACCGATTAACCGATTAATCAATTAATCGATTTATCTATTTATCTATTTATCTATTTATCTATTGATCTATTGATCTATTGATGTATTGATGTATTGATCTATTGATGTATTGATGTATTGATCTATTGATCTATTGATCTATAGATCTATTGATCTATTAATCTATTAATCTATTAATCTATTAATCTATTAATCTATTAATCTATTAATCTATTAATCTATTAATCTATTAATCTATTGATCTATTGATCTATTGATCTATTGATCTATTGACCTATTGATCTATTGATCTATTGATCTATTGATCTATTGATCTATTGATCTATTGATCTATTGATCTATTGATCTATTGATCTATTGATCTATTGATCTATTGATCTATTGATCTATTGATCTATTGATCTATTGATCTATTGATCTATTGATCTATTGATCTATTGATCTATTGATCTATTGATCTATTGATCTATTGATCTATTGATCTATTGATCTATTGATCTATTGATCTATTGATCTATTGATCTATTGATCTATTGATCTATTGATGTATTGATGTATTGATGTATTGATCTATTGATCTATTGATCTATTGATCTATTGATCTATTGATCTATTGATCTATTGATCTATTGATCTATTGATCTATTGATCTATTGATCTATTGATCTATTGATCTATTGATCTATTGATCTATTGATCTATTGATCTATTGATCTATTGATCTATTGATCTATTGATCTATTGATCTATTGATCTATTGATCTATTGATCTATTGATCTATTGATCTATTGATCTATTGATCTATTGATCTATTGATCTATTGATCTATTGATCTATTGATCTATTGATCTATTGATCTATTGATCTATTGATCTATTGATCTATTGATCTATTGATCTATTGATCTATTGATCTATTGATCTATTGATCTATTGATGGATTGATCGATTGATCTATTGATCTATTGATCTATTGATGGATTGATGGATTGATCTATTGATCTATTGATCTATTGATCTATTGATCTATTGATCTATTGATCTATTGATCTATTGATCTATTGATCTATTGATCTATTGATCTATTGATCTATTGATCTATTGATCTATTGATCTATTGATCTATTGATCTATTGATCTATTGATCTATTGATCTATTGATCTATTGATCTATTGATCTATTGATCTATTGATCTATTGATCTATTGATCTATTGATCTATTGATCTATTGATCTATTGATCTATTGATCTATTGATCTATTGATCTATTGATCTATTGATCTATTGATCTATTGATCTATTGATCTATTGATCTATTGATCTATTGATCTATTGATCTATTGATCTATTGATCTATTGATCTATTGATCTATTGATCTATTGATCTATTGATCTATTGATCTATTGATCTATTGATCTATTGATCTATTGATCTATTGATCTATTGATCTATTGATCTATTGATCTATTGATCTATTGATCTATTGATCTATTGATCTATTGATCTATTGATCTATTGATCTATTGATCTATTGATCTATTGATCTATTGATCTATTGATCTATTAATCAATTCATCAATTCATCAATGAATCAATGCATCGATGCATCAATGCATCAATTCATCAATTCATCAATTCATCAATTCATCAATTCATCAATTCATCAATTCATCAATTCATCAATTCATCAATTCATCAATTCATCAATTCATCTATTCATCTATTCATCTATTCATCTATTAATCTATTTATCTATTAATCTATTAATCTATTAATCTATTAATCTAGATTAAAAGATTAATAGATTAATAGATTAATAGATTAATAGATTAATAGATTAATAGATTAATAGATTAATAGATTAATAGATTAATAGATTAATAGATTAATAGATTAATAGATTAATAGATTAATAGATTAATAGATTAATAGATTAATAGATTAATAGATTAATAGATTAATAGATTAATAGATTAATAGATTAATAGATTAATAGATTAATAGATTAATAGATTAATAGATTAATAGATTAATAGATTAATAGATTAATAGATTAATAGATTAATAGATTAATAGATTAATAGATTCATAGATTCATAGATTCATAGATTAATAGATTCATAGATTGATAGATTGATAGATTCATAGATTCATAGATTCATAGATTGATAGATTGATAGATTGATAGATTGATAGATTGATAGATTGATAGATTGATAGATTGATAGATTGATAGATTGATAGATTGATAGATTGATAGATTGATAGATTGATAGATTGATAGATTGATAGATTGATAGATTGATAGATTGATAGATTGATAGATTGATAGATTGATAGATTGATAGATTGATAGATTGATAGATTGATAGATTGATAGATTGATAGATTGATAGATTGATAGATTGATAGATTGATAGATTGATAGATTGATAGATTGATAGATTGATAGATTGATAGATTGATAGATTGATAGATTGATAGATTGATAGATTGATAGATTGATAGATTGATAGATTGATAGATTGATAGATTGATAGATTGATAGATTGATAGATTGATAGATTGATAGATTGATAGATTAATAGATTAATAGATTAATAGATTAATAGATTAATAGATTAATAGATTAATAGATTAATAGATTAATAGATTAATAGATTAATAGATTAATAGATTAATAGATTAATAGATTAATAGATTAATAGATTAATAGATTAATAGATTAATAGATTAATAGATTAATAGATTAATAGATTAATAGATTAATAGATTAATAGATTAATAGATTAATAGATTAATAGATTAATAGATTAATAGATTAATAGATTAATAGATTAATAGATTAATAGATTAATAGATTAATAGATTAATAGATTAATAGATTAATAGATTAATAGATTAATAGATTAATAGATTAATAGATTAATAGATTAATAGATTAATAGATTAATAGATTAATAGATTAATAGATTAATAGATTAATAGATTAATAGATTAATAGATTAATAGATTAATAGATTAATAGATTAATAGATTAATAGATTAATAGATTAATAGATTAATAGATTAATAGATTAATAGATTAATAGATTAATAGATTAATAGATTAATAGATTAATAGATTAATAGATTAATAGATTAATAGATTAATAGATTAATAGATTAATAGATTAATAGATTAATAGATTAATAGATTAATAGATTAATAGATTAATAGATTAATAGATTAATAGATTAATAGATTAATAGATTAATAGATTAATAGATTAATAGATTAATAGATTAATAGATTAATAGATTAATAGATTAATAGATTAATAGATTAATAGATTAATAGATTAATAGATTAATAGATTAATAGATTAATAGATTAATAGATTAATAGATTAATAGATTAATAGATTAATAGATTAATAGATTAATAGATTAATAGATTAATAGATTAATAGATTAATAGATTAATAGATTAATAGATTCATAGATTCATAGATTCATAGATTCATAGATTCATAGATTCATAGATTCATAGATTAATAGATTGATAGATTAATAGATTAATAGATTAATAGATTAATAGATTAATAGATTAATAGATTAATAGATTAATAGATTAATAGATTAATAGATTAATAGATTAATAGATTAATAGATTAATAGATTAATAGATTAATAGATTAATAGATTAATAGATTAATAGATTAATAGATTAATAGATTAATAGATTAATAGATTAATAGATTAATAGATTAATAGATTAATAGATTAATAGATTAATAGATTAATAGATTAATAGATTAATAGATTAATAGATTAATAGATTAATAGATTAATAGATTAATAGATTCATAGATTCATAGATTCATAGATTCATAGATTCATAGATTCATAGATTCATAGATTAATAGATTGATAGATTAATAGATTAATAGATTAATAGATTAATAGATTAATAGATTAATAGATTAATAGATTAATAAATTAATAGATTAATAGATTAATAGATTAATAGATTTATAGATTAATAGATTAATAGATTAATAGATTAATAGATTAATAGATTAATAGATTAAAAGATTAATAGATTAATAGATTAATAGATTAATAGATTAATAGATTAATAGATTAATAGATTAATAGATTAATATATTAATAGATTAATAGATTAATAGATTAATAGATTAATAGATTAATAGATTAATAGATTAATAGATTAAAAGATTAATAGATTAATAGATTAAAAGATTAATAGATTAATAGATTAATAGATTAATAGATTAATAGATTAATAGATTAATAGATTAATAGATTTATCTATTAATCTATTAATCTATTAATATATTAATATATTAATATATTAATCTATTTATCAATGAATGAATGAATCAATCAATCAATCAAGCAATAAAAAACAAATAAATGATTTAACTATTGAAGGATTGAACAATTGTACGATTGTACGATTGTATGATTGTATCATATAATTGTATGATTAGTTGTATGATTGACTGTATAATTGTATAATTGTATAATTGTATAGTTGTATTATTGTATAATTGTACGGTTGTACAATGGTACGGTTGTACGATTGTACGATTGTATTGAACGAACTAACGATCGAACGAACTAATGAGATACTGAAATAACAAAATAACGAACTAACGAACTAACTAATGAAGTAACGAAATACCGAAGTATTGAACTACCGAACGAACGAACGAAAGAACGGCATAGCCTTAGCTTTAGCCTTAGCTTTGTTTTTCCTAATAGCGATGTTTGCTCCATTTCAATACTTCCTCTATACACTGTTCCAAGGTAGCAAAAATATTATAAGCAATCACACATTTTTAACAGTACCTAAAATGTCAAATTTGTTACACATTCACAGTATCGCTTACCTTACTACGGCCAAATTCGGTATACGATTTACGATGGTAAAGAGATTATTATTGATGGAAGCCTCCCTTCTAGAGGAACAAGGTAAAAGTTTGTTTTCCAACAGATTTGAGTCCTTGATTTGTGGACATTTCGGTGCGACGGTAGACTTTTTGTAGGCAGCCACAAATTAAATTAGCCCGGCTTGGCTGTTAACGGTAATAAGAAATAAAAAGTGTAATAATATTGGTACCGTATGAATTGTGATAATCAGTAAAAGGCTGGTATTCAACCGGTAAGAGGGTCTGTGCCGCTTCTTTACCGGGAATATAGATTCTAGTATAGTTTTACTAGAGGTAATATCATAAAGGTCTGATGACTAAGGGTCAATTCAATGCCCAAAGTTTACAGCCTGTAGTAAAATAGAATGAGGCTGTGTATAATATCTACTGCTCCGTGGCTGACACACGTGCAGGATAAAAGTAGTACAAAATGTAGGTAAATGTCTACTCAACTGCCACGTGGAATTACGTCACAGGCAGGAATAGTTTACATCAAATAAGTATTTAAATGCCCTGTGTGCTAAGGCACGGGCAGTGTAAAGTTAAGTAAAGTAATTCAGGTAAGTTATCGACTGTCACAATGTAAAGTAACAATGTAAAGTGTTTATGTAAAAATACATGACAGCAAGATAATATTTATATATTAGATTTATTAAAACTCCTTGTTACACTGTTAATCAAATATGCATATAAAAAGTAAAGTTAAGTAAAAGTAAGAAATAATTAGTAAAACCAAACCCAGAGAAAACACGTGGAGGTCGGGCCGACGGCCCCAACGCCGCGTGTGACACCACCAGCTGAGCTCAGTGCTGGAAGAGTGCGAGATGTCTTTGTTGCATCCCCTTATATTCACTAAAACATTGGCGGTGTGTCACGTGGACAATCTAGCCAACTAGAGAGGGGCCTGTGAGGGGGACGAAATATATGGATGTACGTAGCAGTAGAGAGGGGCGGGGAGTAATAGAGCAGGTAGAGGGTGGTGGAAGAATAAAATAGAGCTAGCCTAACGGTTTTACCGTCACATTGGCGAAACTACGATGCCGCCAGACCCCGCAATGCGAGAAGGGATGCTTATGGGGTTTAAAATCAAACAAAAATTATTTTTTAAAATTCCAAAACGTTTTGGTAGTAAAAACAAAAAAAAAACATAGCTACTACAGCAGTCTATGCTCTACAGTAACTAAACTGCTCTGCTGCCTAGAATAATATTCAATGTAGTGTGAAAGATGTGCAACCGCTCAAGCCACTATCATGACTTAGAGTTCTTCTTTATCTAGTCCTATTATATAAAAGCCCATGTGCGCAATTCTCTCTCTCTCTCTCTCTCTCTCTCTCTCTCTGTGTCTCTCTGTCCGCAAAATATGTTCACAATCTATCATATTAGTATCTTCAGCGATATATGGAGAACTTGATACGGACTTTAGTTGGAAAAAGTATGGTAGATGTTTTAAATGTATAAACAGAATTTTATTTAAAGAAGTAAAATAAAAAATAAAGGCATATTCGAATGTATAAATACATTTTAATTATGTAACCGGAAAAGTGTTGATAGTTGTGGCAAGAACGCGATTAACAATCACGTCACAAATGTTTACACTAAGGAAAGAAAACAAAACTAGTGGCATCATCTTCCGATTTCAGAATATAAAGAAAGGAACTATTTCATTCAAATTTGATTTAGATCTAAAGAATCTACGTTCGCTATGAAATGTATACAATACAATTTTCTCGGCCTAAACTTATAAAATTTACTAGGATTCTAGATCTAGAGATTCTAGATCTAGAGATCTACGGAAAAACTAGTCAGATTCTATTTAGTTCTAGAATATATTCCAAAAATAAATTTTTATACTAAACTATTTGAGGCCTCAATTATTTTATAGACATCTTTGTATTTAATTTAATCTGAAAGAATATGGCATATTCGCGTAAGTTTCTTAAGTAGGCCTACATCTTTTATCCTCCGTGATTTCTAATGTGCCTAAATAGCTGAGATGATAGTGTAATTGATACCATATGGGTGGTACGAGTTTGAAACCCATCAAGTCAATCTTTTTTTTTTTCAATTTTTTTTTATATGTGAATGATAAAGTTGTATATCAGGACTTGGGAGGACACGGGGAGAGTGAAGTAGAGATCACCTGTTTCTGTCTTTTCAGTATATGAAGGGATAGTGTGGTCAGATCCATGCTCAGCCGAAATTGGTATTTTTAAAAGACAAAAACAACATAACTACAATTGAACAGCCGGGTTTTCAACGAAATCTTTTAAGCCTCTTAATCAGCGAGTGCATTTAATATGGTATTGTGTTAACTAATACTGTGTATAATATGGTTGTAAGTTTTCTAATAGGTATTTGTAGTCTATGCTATTTTAAACAAGTCTAAACATAGACAGTAGGCCCTACATAAAACAAAACCCCTTCTTTTTCATAATCTTAACAATGTTTCATTCCAATGCTCTTGATCAATAAAATGTTTCTTTTCCTAATTTTCCGATAAAGACTTTTTAAAAAGCTGAATTACAATTCATTTCATTACTCACTTTCCTTAGAAATATACATTTTCTTCAGACATCTCCACCGTTTCTTCGCCTTTCACCTCCAAACGAAATTGAAAAAGTAATTCTAAAAGAAAAACCTAGTAGCCTATTTGTAAAGAGAAGAGAGCTATAGGTCACCAGAATTGACCGTGTAACGGGTACCTATGGCTAGTCTAATAGAGGTGTTCATAACGCTCCTTTAAACATGTGTGTACTAAGCAAAGGAAATTATCAATTTCTTCTTTTACATATGATTTTTTTTAAAACACATAGTGTAGAGTGACATTGCTTCTGAACAGAATTAATTTAAGTTAATAACAAATTTTTAAAAAGTCAGGACAAAAAGAGCACGGGAACCCATGCTGCATTGTCAAGCTTCGTTTATAAAATACTAGCCATCCCGGCCAGGAGCTGCACTGGCCTCTGTGAAAAAACAACCAGTAAAGGACCATGACGAGTGTGTTAAGCAGCATATATCCGGCACAGCCCGGCTTTGTGAATTATATTACCTTTTGAATTAACCATAGCCACAACCAACCACAACAAAAACACAAACGCAAACACAAACACAAACGCAAGCGCTAACGCAAACACAAAAACCAAAAGAAACACAAACACAAACGCGAACGCAAATACAAATGCAAACACAAATATAAATGTATACGCAAACAATAACGCACAACATAAACACAAATTTGAATGCATATAAAAGCATGATGCTCACGTTATAGCCCGAGGCGCCGAATCGCACTCGATTCATCATAGTAAGCGACTTAAATACCTTATCTTATCCATAGCCTGTCGCACAGTTTAAACTGAAATTAGGTGCCATAGCGCTCAATGGAAGGACCTGGGCACGATTTAGCAGTCTGTTAAGGCGCCTGAGGACGCCCTGAATTCAATTTAGTGAAGGACGATAGTAACACTTCTTATTCATAGTCTATTGCAACGTTTAAAACGAACGTATGCTCACAGAATAGACCGGGGCGCAAATCACAACTTGCTGGGGCGCCGAAGGAAGCGTCTGATTCAATTTAGTAAATCATTATAACACCTCAAGCTTATCCGCACACGGAAAGATAGAAGTAAACATAAAAGGCAATTTAAGAGCGGTTTCTAAACTGTGATTGATCACAAATAACAATTGGTTATCAGTATGTTCAGTGTATAATATTAGTAAAAGGCAGTTTTAAAATATCTTGGCTTTACCTACCATATCGCACTTTATCAATGTATGCTAATTTTATATATATATATATATATATATATATATATATATATATATATATATATATATATATATATATATATATATATATATATATATATATATATATATATATATATATATATATATATATATATATATATATATATATATATATATATATATATATATATATATATATATATATATATATATATATATATATATATATATATATATATATATATATATATATATATATATATATATATATATATATATATATATATATATATATATATATATATATATAGTTTTTTAACAAGTTTTCTCTAAAGTTAAAATAAATTACTTCTTACTTGAGAAAACGTGCATTTTCACTAATTTTCTATCTCTAATTTTCTCTGCCCGTTTAGTCGTCTGGGTTAAGGATGCCAAAATTAGTAATTTTATCATGGTGTAAGAGGGTGTAAAACTGTACTTACAAATGTTTTTTTGTCCTTGTCCCCCATCCCCGACTTCAATTTTATCAGGAGTGGTCTTAAACGAATAGATTTATTACAAAAAGATGCGTGTAGCTATTATTATTCATCTAACAAACTTGAGAAAGAATATTTGTCTTTAAACTAACCTAATTTCTTTAATTACCCCCCCCCCCCCTTTCCCGTCATTTGAATGTGGAAACGCGTACTTAAAAGTGCATGGAACTCTGAATAAATTACAAAAACATCCCATTTTAAGTACATTTTTGCATTTGTTGTCCATGGTGCCACCCCAATCAGTGGTGTTAACCGCTGCGGTCCTCACCCTCGCACCCCCTTGTGACGCCTCTGACCTCCAGGTCTGATTTCATATCTCTGATGATTCGTGTTCCACGAGGTTTGATATCATTTGCGATATAAGCTTCAACTTTTTTTTCTTACGGTAAACAATGGGATTCTTTGTCGTTAAATGTGGATGGATGCATTCACAACAATTTAGTCATTCTACTTTGATGTTACTGTATTTAACTGCAGCCCTCATATTTAAGTTTTTTGGTTCTAGGACGACTTTGGAGCTATGCGATACCAACAGATGCAACAACCATGTTCCAATCCACGTATCATTCCGACTGAACACAAACCAAATGATGGTCAGCTCTAAGACAGCTGGGAAGTGGAACCGCGAAATTAACGTGGGCTCGAGCCCTGTGACCAAAGGACAGACTTTCACCATCAAGTTCATCATTCACAGCAACAAGATCAGGGTAAGTCTGATGACTAGATCTTGTCACATTCGTATCACAACACAGACTGTCAAAGTAAGAAATTTTTATCTCATGTTCATAATATAGTCGAATAAGGTTTTAAAACGCATGTATATCACTGAGATAGCATTATAGAATGAAGCGAGTAATTGGTCAGTTGCACAGTCACTAGAATAAAGATCAAGTCTACAAATGCTATCGACTAATTTCCTGCTTGGTCCCTGCACAGGATCTTTAACAAAATATCAGCCAACAAATCTCACCTTATCTCATTTTGAATGAAACAAAATATTCCCACACAAAATTAATCGCATACAAGATGATTTAGTTGAGTAACAAACGTTATCATAAATAGTTTAGAATAATAACGTAATTTTTATTACACTACCAACCAAATTATACCCAACACAAAATAACTAAACATATAACATATCCACAGATTTACAACAAGCAGAGATTAGTGTATGATTTTATAAACCCCATTACCTTCGACAACATCCAATTTATCTCCATTCGTGATAATGCAGTTGTGACTTCGATCCTGTATTCTGTAAGTGTTTATACATTTAGTAGAAAACCATAGTTAAGTTATGAAGTTAAATGTACTCATTTGTATATTATGTATGCCTATTACATAGATTTCAACTGTTGGCACTTTTTAAACGAGTTCTAGATTTCCTATCCTAGATTTTATGACCTAATCAGACGTTACCATAGAGTTTCTTTTTTAATTGAAGACCTTAGTGCTAAAAGTACTTAAGTCACAAAAACAACATTTTGAGAAAAATGAGTTCAAAGATTAAAATTTACTATGAAACATTACGTTTTTATATTATTTGTTTGTTTGGAAGAGCAAATTAAATACATTCTTCAGTATCACTATTTGTTTATAAGATAAAGTTAAACTAGAGGAATAACGATCAATGCTTGGTTTGATTTTCACAAAAATGTGACTTAAGTACTTTTAGCACTGGGCTCTTCAATTTAGATATCGTATTTGTATAACTAAACTTAATTTCAAAATTATTTATCTCTAATTTAGTAAAAAAACCATTATTTTCCTCTTACAGATGACATTTCCCGTGAGTTTTAAATTGAAATTAGTTTATCGAATTTTGAAAAATTATGATTACAGAAATATTATTTCTCTTTGTGATAAAGTTAATATTTGCATGAAATATGAATGTTAATACTTTTGTACAAACTTTATAAATTTTTCATATTAAACCTTTGATTTGTTTACACACAAGAGGGTCTAAGGCAGGTGTCGGCAACCTTTTGAGGCGTAAAGGCAAAAAAATACAATTTACAAAATTTCCCAGTTTTTAAACTAACATTTTTATTTCAATGGTATTATATTTATTAAGAATTATATATAGGTTATATATATATATATATATATTTATATATATATATATATATATATATATATATATATATATATATATATATATATATATATATATATATATATATATATATTTATTTATATATATATATATACTAGCTGCATACCCGTGCTCCGCCACGGTGAATATTTTTTTTAATTTACCAATTTCGGAACAGAACAGAACAAAACTAAACACAAACACAACGCAAACACAAACACACAATAAAACAAAACACAAACACTAAAGAAAGCGCAAACACAAACACAATGCAAGCACAAATGCAAACGCAAACTAAAAAAACACAAACAAAACACAAATACAAACGCAACAAACAAACACAAACACAAACACAAAAGAAAAACAAACACAAACACAATACAAACTCAAAACACAAATGCAAACGCAAAAAGTACAAAAGCAAACACAAACGCATACGCATAACATAAACACAACTTTAATCCAAACATAAAGGCATTGTGCTCAAAGTTTAGCCCTTGGAGCCAAATCGCACTGAATGAACGATTTTAAAATCTCCCTCCTTGTCCGCAAACCGAAAGATAGAAATAAACGTATAGAGAATTTAGGAACGGCATCTCAACTGTTGTCGGATAAAAATAATAATTAGTAAACACTATGGTAACCCGGGATAATTCCATACACTACTTTTCTAAAAAAAATTGTAAAAAATTAACACTACCACAATATAATATTGAGGGTATAACTAGACATGCATTACTTATATAATAGCAAACAAATACAGAGATAAATACAAAAATACAATCTTTAAATATTTCACTTTTATTACAAAAACATGGCAAGTGGGGCAATTCCACACACATTATGAACATTTAAAAATCCATGTATTTAAAAATGTGTAAAAAAAAAACTCTTTTCCCTGGGTGAGGAGAAAGTCTCAATTTCTTCCTCCTGAATTCCGCTCACATCTGTCATAGGCCGAAGTTATTCGTTAATAATTGCGGACCATTCTGAAATAAGAACAAAATGAAATGTTAGAAAGAGTAACTACTAATGTGTGTTTGGGGATGTTTAGCTATAAATTTTGCATAAATAATAATAAATAATATAGGTACAGTAAAAATAATAATTGATAAAGAAATAACAGGAGTCTGTGGCAATGTTATTTAATTTTAATAGCAAAGTCTTTTTAAAATTAAAAAGTACTAGATCTACTACTATTTAAGTACTTTTTAAAATTCAATCATGAGATGTGAATTACAGAATTAGCCACAACCAGTTTAAATTGTTTAAATTAAAAGCTTAGCCCTCTAAAGAGTAGAGTGGACGGATGGACGGGTGGACGGGTGGACGGATGGGTGGGTGGGTGGATGGGTGGACGGACGGACAGACAGACAGATACACAGATAGATACATACACAGACAGCGAAACTATTATAATCTGTAATATAAGCGGGCTGGTAGTGTGTCAGTCCTTCCGTCATCGCTACAGATTTTGGAGCCATAATAGTAAACATAGCACCATGCAGCGCTTTTCAGTGCATCGCAGTGTCTTATTATAAGTGTTAGAGTAGGAATTGTTTATATAACGACATAAAGTTATTTTATATTTGCCACTGTTTTTACTCTTTAGCATTACGTAAAGAAAATATTAAATACACGCACATTGCTAAAATATATTAAATAGATCAATGTCAAATATCATTTTCGTTTATATTCCTAGAAAAATTGGATACATTCTCATAACAGTAGGTAGAAAACAACTAATTAATTCAATTATTTTTTGTAATTTTTGCAAGGAGGTAATTTAAAAATAAATTTATTTAATCAATAATTTAAGTTAATTTTTTGATTACTACCGCATTGATTATTATATGTTAAGGTTCATAATTAAAATAGAAAATTTTTAAGATTATTTATATAAATTATTATTATTTTCTAATTAGTCTATGCTCCCTCAAAATCACTATTTTTTGTTTTTTGTTTTTCGGTGTTAACAGATGGTGAAATTTTAGAATTATAGTATAAAAAGCGTGTTTTTCGTTGGTGATTCAAATTACATTACCAATGAACCATAACAGTAAACACCACTTGCCGTACATTTATTTTGCATCGCATTGTTTTATTGTAAATTATGGAGTAGGTTTTATTTATGTGACTTTTTTATGCTGGAAAGGCTCTCTTTAGGCGCGGACGCCTAGGAAAGCTTGTTGTTCGGTGGTGATTCTAATGTTGTGGTTGTGCTGTGGTTGTGTTGTGGCTGTGTTGTGGTTGTGCTGTGTTTGTTTTGTGGTTGTGTTGTGGTTGTGTTGTGGTTGTATTGTGGTTGTGTTGTGGTTGTGTTATGGTTGTGTTGTGACTGTGTTGTGGTTGTGGTTGTCTTGTGGTTGTGGTTGTGTTGTGGTTGTATTGGGGGTGTGTTGTTGTTGTGTTGTGGTTGTGTGGTGGTTGTATTGTGGCTGTGTTGTGGTTGTAATGTGGTTGTGGTTGTGTTGTGGTTGTATTGGGGTTGTGTTGTGGTTGTGTTGTGGTTGTGTTGTGGTTGTGTGGTGGTTGTGTTGTGATTGTGTTGTGGTTGTGTTGTGTTGTGGTTGTGTTGTGGTTGTGGTTGTGTGGTGGTTGTGTTGTGGTTGTGTTGTGGTTGTGCTGTGTTTGATTTGTGGTTGTGTTGTGGTTGTGTTGTGGTTGTGTTGTGGTTGTATTGTGGTTGTGTTGTGGTTGTGTTGTGGTTGTGTTATGGTTGTGTTGTGACTGTGTTGTGGTTGTGGTTGTCTTGTGGTTGTGTTATGGTTGTGTTGTGGTTGTATTGGGGTTGTGTTGTTGTTGTGTTGTGATTGTGTGGTGGTTGTATTGTGGCTGTGTTGTGGTTGTAATGTGGTTGTGGTTGTGTTGTGGATGTATTGTGGTTGTGTTGTGGTTGTGTTGTGGTTGTGTTGTGGTTGTGTTGTGGTTGTGTTGTGGTTGTGTTGCGGTTGTGTTATGGTTGTGGTTGTGTTGTGGCTGTGTTGTGGTTGTGGATGTGTTGTGGTTGTGTTGTGGTTGTGTTGTGGTTGTGTTGTGCTTGTGTGGTGGTTGTGTTGTGATTGTGTTGTGTTCTGGTTGTGTTGTGGTTGTGTTGTGGTTGTGTTGTGGTTGTGTTGTGGTTTTGTTATGATTGTGGTTGTGTTATGGTTGTGGTTGTGTTGTGGCTGTGTTGTGGTTGTGTTGTGGTTGTGGTTGTGTTGTGGTTGTGTTGTGGTTGTGTTGTGGCTGTGTTATGGTTGTGTTGTGGTTGTGTTGTGGTTGTGTGATGGTTGTGTTGTGATTGTGGTTGTGTTGTGGTTGTGGTTGTGGTTGTGTTGTGGTTGTGTTGTGGTTGTGTTGTGGTTGTGTTGTGGTTGTTTTGTGGTTGTGGTTGTGTTGTGGTTGTGTTGTGGTTTTGTTATGGTTGTGGTTGTGTTATGGTTGTGGTTGTGTTGTGGTTGTGGTTGTGGTTGTGTTGTGGTTGTGTTGTGGTTGTGTTGTGGTTGTGTTGTGGCTGTGTTATGGTTGTGTTGTGATTGTGTTGTGGTTGTGTTGTGGTTGTGTTTTGGTTGTGTTTTGGTTGTGTTGTGGTTTTGTTGTGGTTGTGTTGTGGTTTTTGATGTGGTTGTGTTGTAGTTGTGTTGTGGTTGTGCTTGCGTTGTGGTTCTGTTGTGGTTGTGTTATGGTTGTGGTTGTGTTGTGGCTGTGTTGTGGATGTGTTGTGGTTGTGGTTGTGTTGTGGTTGTGTTATGGTTGTGTTGTGGTTGTGTTGTGGTTGTGTGGTGGTTTTGTTGTGATTGTGTTGTGGTTGTGTTGTGTTGTTTTGTGGTTGTGTTGTGGTTGTGATGTGGTTGTGTTGTGGTTGTGTTATGGTTGTATTGTGGTTTTTTTTTTGTGTTCGTTTATTTCTGTTCCCAAGTTGTTACATTTAAAAAAAGATTTACCACCGGAGCACGGGTATGCAGCTAGTAGATAATATAACGCTGGTGGTAGTGTTTCAATCATTCCGTCATCGCTATAGATTTTGGAACAATAAAAGTAATCCTCGAACAATGCGGTGCTTTAAATTTACATCGCATTGTCTTATTAAAAGAAATACAGAAGGGATTATTTATATATCGACCTAAAATTTATGTATACATGACACTTTTTACACTGTTTTTACGCTTTTTGCATAACCCGAAGAAATATAAAAAAAAACGCACATTGCTAAAATATATTGAACGGATCAATGTCAAATATTTTTGCTCGGATTTCTTGAAAAAATGGATACATTTTAAGGGTCGAAAAAACTAATTAATTAAAATCTTTTATAATTTTGCCAGTAATTTAAAAAGAAACTCAACTCACACTAATAAAAAAAAATGTTAATGCAAATTCCGCGGACGTGTACGAGTGCATTATTGCTGGAATATTATAATTAGCGTGGATTGATATTTAAGTTGTGTTTAATATGCGTAAGCGTTTTTTTTGTGTTTGCATTTGTTTTTGCGTTTGCATTGTGTTTGCGTTTTCTGTTTTTTTTTCAAAATATGTATGTTTTTCTATGCATATATCTTTTCTACGTGGACATGTACATATATATTTAGTGGCAGTTTGCAGATATAGGTGCAACGACTTTCTATATTATTCTTCTTTTAAACAGAATTCAAACATTGTTATTCCAAGATCAGCACACGGACAATATATCATTTTACAAGCCACACCCACAAGTGCTGAGAGGTAAAAGATTTTCTGTCCAACTAGATGCCGTATATTCCGTTTGTATTTCGTGTGTCCTTCACCAATTTTGTTCATTCGTCTATTTCTCAACTGTATATTGTTATGTTTGTCCGTCTTAAAATTTGTTTGGTTTCATCTACGTTTGTTATAGCAACCCAGGTTTTGTTTAGGGTTAACTAAGTTTGTTATAGCGACCCAAGATTTGTTTAGGTTTAACTAAGTTTGTGATAGCCGACCATGTTTTGTTTAGGTTTAACTAAGTTTGTGATAGGCGACCATGTTTTGTTTAGGTTTAACTAAGTTTGTGATAGGCGACCATGTTTTGTTTAGGTTTAACTAAGTTTGTGATAACCGACCATGTTTTGTTTAGGTTTACCTTTACGATCGAGTGCCGGTACGACGTCACCATGCAGCTTGAGGCCTTGTTTAACTTCGAAGGAGATGAGAATGAAGTCCTCGTCACCAAACGCATCAGCGGCGTTTGGGACACTGAGTACGAATGCTGCTGCGTTTTTCCCTTCACAGTCAACACGGCTTTCACAATGAGGATTATGTACAGTACCACGGATATTGAGGTACATGTGCAGTGCGTTAAGAAAACGCACTAGTATCAATCTGAACCGAGATTCACTAAGTACATTTTAATTAAAATCATCATATTTAAAATGAAAACTATCAAAAGCCTAAACCAATAAAAATATGTTTTAAAAGTCAAACGTAATCCTGAGCAAACACTCGAATATAAACCTATGCGCGTAGTTGAAATTAACATCCACAAACAATAAATTGCCAAAGTACACATGTAAGTACACAGTGACAGTGACAGTGGCAGTCGCAATCACAGTCGCTGTCGCAGTCACAATCAGAATCAGAATCAGAATCAGAAGCACAATCAGAAGCACAATCCGCAAATCGCAAATCGCTAGCAGAATATGGGTTAATTGATTTGTTTTCATGTGTGTTTGTGTTTTTTTTTTTTTTTTTTTTTTTTTGGGGAAGCTTAAAAGCTTTTTTTTTCCCTTAGATGACTGTAGGAGATGCAGATGAATTCAAGTACAAGCAGTCGTCTGTAAGCGGTTGCACAGAGGAAAAACTTGTCTGGAGCCAAATGACCGTCTCCACACTGCACACCACGTGAACCATCTCAATCGACTGACCAAATGACAAGATACTGACAATCGACTGACCAAATGACAAGATACTGACAATTGACAGACCAAATGACAAGATACTGACAATTGACAGACCAAATGACAAGATACTGACAATCGACAGACCAAATGACAAGATACTGACAATTGACAGACCAAATGACAAGATACTGACAATTGACAGACCAAATGACAAGATACTGACAATTGACAGACCAAATGACAAGATACTGACAATTGACAGACCAAATGACAAGATACTGACATTTGACAGGCCGAATGACAAGATACTGACAATCGACTGACCAAATGACAAGATACTGACAATCGAATGACCAAATGACAAGATACTGACAATCGACTGACCAAATGACAAGATACTGACAATCGACTGACCAAATGACAAGATACGGACAAGTGACAGACCAAATGACAAGATACTGACAATCGACTGACCAAATGACAAGATACTGACAATCGACTGACCGAATGACAAGATACTGACAATCGACTGACCGAATGACAAGATAGTGACAATCGACTGACCGAATGACAAGATAGTGACATTTGACAGACCGAATGACAAGATACTGACAATCGACAGACCGAATGACAAGATAGTGACATTTGACAGACCAAATGACAAGATACTGACAATTGACTGACCAAATGACAAGATACTGACAATTGACTGACCAAATGACAAGATACTGACAAGTGACAGACCAAACGACAAGATACTGACAAGTGACAGACCAAACGACAAGATACTGACAGTTGACATACATAATGCTGTTATATTGACAATTGACTGACCGAATAATGTTTTTCTGCTGGGTAGATGTATTTATAGAAATGTTTTGGAAAGTCACTAGTAAAACTTCTTTTTTAACACTGCGGAGTCCTATTCGGTTGCCGCATATAAACGTTTAAGCGACTGCTTGATAAAACTAACCAAAATTAACGTACATATTGTAATACTAATTCAAATAATGATTCGTGAAAGAAATTGGACGTAGTTGTGTTATCTACCAAAACAATTTTCTTTTTCCTTAAAAACGAAGTAATTAACTTTCTTCAATAAGAAAATAATTACTTAAAATTTACAAATTATTATCTCAGTTATGTCTGGGTTTTAAGTTAAAACGTAAAAAAAAAATAGCCTTTTTACCGCAGAGGTGTTTAGAAAATAATGGAGCGGAAAAAACTAGTTCCGGTAAAATTTGAACAAAAACTCCGGGCTTAAAAAAATTAAAGAAAAAATTCTTAAAATATTTATTTGGCCATTAAACAGGTGGAATATGCATTTTCAGTTAGCTGCTTTTCTGTAGTTTACAGTTAGCTGCTTTTCTGTAGATTAGCTTCTGTAGAGTCAGCTTCCGGGTAGTTAGGTTTCATACATATTTTATAACCAATAACAAAATACTTTTTTTTTAAATTTAATTGTTTATATTTATATACGGTATAGGTACTTTTTATTCTATTCTGTATATTTTATCCTATGGGTATTTCTACAGTAATATAACAACTGAAAGAAAATTAATTATAGTGTTTAAAATCTTATGTGAGAAAAGTAATTCTTCTTCTTTGTCTTTCTTAATTTTAATTTTGGAAGTTATTTTCTTCAACACTTATGTGTCAACACTTTATGTATTTTGTGTTTCGTGGTTTTTTTTTCTTTCTTTTTTCTTTGTGTTTCGTTGAATCTAATTTCAACATGCTTTCCTTTCTGTACTTGATTCCAACAAAGAATTAAACCTTTTTTAATCGTAATGGTGTAAAACGTCTAAAGTACTCATCGTCTAAATTAATGATTTAAAAATTAATATTGAAAGTGTTGTAAAACAATTTTCATTTTTTAAACTTATAGTGACAATTTTCGGCATGTCCATCAAACAAAACTTTAGAAAATGTATCACCTTTCAAAAAACATCTAATTATGTCTGAAAATTATTTACATTTAGTTATTTAGAACTCATTACGTCACCTGATAAATTAGGCGAACACAATTACTTCCCTTTATAATAAACATTACATAGGGTGGAGAAATTTATTTTTATTATTTTGTTTTGGTGTTGGGAAAAAAACAAATTACATAATTAGCAGAGATTGATCAAGTGCAATGTGGTAGGTATTTCAAATAGTGCCTTTTGTTTATTTTATACACTGGACGTACTGTTTACTAATTATTTTTGAATCAAGAACAGTTAAGAAGCCAGCCCCTAAATGCCCTCTATGTTTACTTCTTTCCGTTAGCGGATGAGCTTGGGGTATTATAATTGTTCACTAAATTAAAACAAGCCAGTCAGCCGGCGCCCTGGCACGGCTCGATTTGGCCATCTGGGCTATCCTATAAACACTATGAAGCACAATTTCTTTTTAAACAGTGCGGTAGACTATGGATAAGATGGGTTACTATAGTCTTTAAGTAAATCAAATCCGGCCGTCCTCCGACACTCTGACAGGGTGCTATTTGGTGCCCCGGGCCTTCCCTTGTTCGCTATGGCGCTTACGCTCGGTTAAGTGGCTGCAAAAGAATATGAATAAGTTGGGGTACTATAGTCGTTTACTAACTTGAATCAGGTGGCTCCACCGGCGCCACATAATGATGCGATTTGGCGCCCGGGGCTAGACTGTCAGCACTTTTAGTGTATGTTTGCGTTTGTGTTTTTTTGTGTTTGGGTTGGCGTTTGTAGTTGGGTTTGTTTTGATTTGTTTTGTTTTCGTTTACTTTGTGTTTTCTTTGTGTTTGCGTTTGCGTTTGTGGTTGGGGTTGTGTTTGCGTTTGTGTTTGTATTTGTGTTTGTGCTTGCATTTGTGTTATGTTTGCGTTTTTTTTTTTGTATTTTGGTTTTTGCTGGTTCTGATTAGGGTGGTCGATGTCGGGTATGTGGGGATTACTAAACACACAAGTCGTGGTCATTTAAATATAGGTTTTTCACAGAGGCCAACGCAGGGCCTGGCCGGAACGGCTAGTATATATATTGTTTGTAAATTTATGGACAGATGCATTTCTGTAGAAGAATTTTTGAGAGTTTCAACAACTTTATTTAGTTATTTCAGAAGTGAAGCATTTATTTTATTCCTTTCGGTGATGGCACATTTTCTTTAACGCTACATACTATATTATGTGAGGATTTCTTGTTTAGCAATTTTTTGTAGTAATTTTTCAAGTTAACCTTAAAATATTTTTTGAGACCAAACGGAGGTGTTAAAGATAAAGTAATTTTTTGTACCCGTTATTTTGATTCAATATAATTATTATACGCTAAAATCTGAAGTCTAAAATTTTAATACAAGTATTTTCTATTAAAATATTATTTACCATCAAATATAACATAATGCATTCATGTTAACAAAAATAAGTTACTTTAAGCTAGAAATTCGCATAGGAACAAAAAAATAACTTGGATATCAAAAACATACACCCTTTCCAAAATTTACTCATTTCTTTTATTGCAAACTAAAACCTTTTCAATGCATTTTTAAAATTAATGTGATAAGCTTGTTGGAATTATTGAAATATAATAAATAGCATTTAATAGTTTTGTGAGACAAATCAAATCACTATATTAATTTAATATGAATTTTATTGTCATTTGATCCTTCCATAATTGCCTAGGTTCTAAAAATTAAAAAAGTAGGTTTGTAATATCAAAATAAAAATGTTTTACTCGAAATAATTCTTTTGTGATAAAAGCTTTTTATCTCTTTTATAAAAATATATATATATATATATATATATATATATATATATATATATATATATATATATATATATATATATATATATATATATATATATATATATATATATATATAATATATATATATATATATATATATATATATATATATATATATATATATATATATATAAAGCAAAGTGGTCACGATGGTGCCTTGGGGCGATAGAACACGAGGGCCGGTGACGGTTGGCCGAAAAGTCCACGGAGAAGGGGTCAAAACTGACCTCGACTGACCGACGCCTTATATGGGCTTTATAACGAAAAAAACTTTTGCCGAACGACCCCCCTTGAAATTTTGTGAGGTGGTAGAAGAACGCCTGTGGGTGTCACAAAAAACTCGGCTTATCTGGAAAAACTTCGTAAAGGGGTCAAAACTGACCAGTAGTATTCCCCTATATAATCTTGGTATTTTATGAGAAAAACAGAGGGTAATTTCAACATAGATTTTAGGGCACTTACGCTCTGCACATCTGGCTAATATTTTGCATGCACCTAGGTAAATGGATTGGCCTTTTCGGAAAACTGTCGGTTTGACTCAAAGCCCTCGGAGAGGGCTAAAACATGACCGCGAGTGAAAATCTCCTTATTTGAGCTAAATAACGGGGTGGAAGGGGAACACCTAGGGGTGTCAGAAAAAAACTCGCCATGTCCGGGAAAAATCTGAAAATGAGTCAAAACGTTTTTTTAATTAATCTTTTTTTGGCACATTCGTTTTTGTCTGTCATTTTTTTTTGCGCACATAGGGGAATTTGTTTTTGTCAAACGCACCAAACATGCTGAACGTTGCCTTTTTTTACGTCACAAAAGTGCGTACCTTTATTTTAAAGAAGACGTTTTTAAGATGACATTTAGCGGTGTAAAGTTTTACTACTGAAAAAACAATTGGATAAGATGGGTTACTATAGTCTTGAAGTGAATCAAATCCGGGCACCCTTCGGCGCCTAGACAGGGTGCTATTTGGCGCCCCGGGTTTTCCCTTGTTCATTTTGGCGCCTATATTCAATTAAGTGAGTGCAAAAGACTATGAATAAGTTGGGGTAATATAGTCGTTTACTAAGCTGAAACAGGCGGTTCAGTCGGCGCCCCAGCATGTTGCGTTTTGGCGCCCCGGGGTAGACTGTGAGCACTTTGCGTTTATGTTTATTGTTTGCTTTTGAGTTTTTTTTGTGTGTACGGGTTAGGTTAGCGTTTGTAGTTGGGTTTGCGTTTGGATTTGGTTTGTTTTCGTTTGCTTTTTTGTTTGTGTTTTCTTTGTATTTGTGGTTGGGTTTGTGTTTGTGTTTGCGTTTGTTTTTGTATTTGTGTTAACGTTATGTTTGCGTTTTTTTTTTTGGTTTTGGTTGGTTGTGGTTAGGGTGGGTAATGCCGGGTATATGCTGATTACTAAACACACATGTTTACATACAGGTTTTTCACAGAGGCCAGTGATATATATATATATATATATATATATATATATATATATATATATATATATATATATATATATATATATATATATATATATATATTACTAATTATTTGAAATACATATATATATAATCCATGTAGGCGCTTCTCTCTTTTGTTTATTTGTCATACTTTGTCCGAAGCTAAGAGATCAGACTCTTCAGCTGTATCTGAAATTCTTAAAGATACATATTTTTGTGGAGAAAAATATGCTGACAATATTAAATAAATAAACTTAATTTTATTGAAAGCATAGTTAATTGATTTTTCTTGCACTAACTTACCCCGCCCCTGCATTGCTGCAGGCTGACGCAACATTATAATATGAATTTACCATTATTATTATGATTATATTTACCCACCCAATCCGTAGTGTATGCTACTCTTTAAATGACCGTATATTTATAACGAAGAAAATACTACACTAGACTAAAGACATGCCATGAGCGCCACCAGTTTACAAGATACGTAACGTTTG